ACAACCATAAAATTATTTTGTTGCTACTATAATTTTGCTGCTGTTAGAAATCATAATGTAAATATCTGATATGCAGGACATCTGATATGTGACCCCTGAGGAGGTCGTGACCCAAAGGTTGAGAACCACTGCTTTAGATAGTAATACCTTATCAGATAGCTAGCAAGGAGATTCACCCATTCTGCAAGCTGTCTGTTTTCTTCATTGTGAAGCCTCTATTTCTTGTAAACCTCGTTGGTCAGTTCTTGGATTTTCTGAGTTGCTTAGGTCCTTAGCAGAAAGCTCTTGCCCATGTCTTTATCCTGATGTGTTCTCCTGCTTTCTTCTAACAGTTTTAGAATTTCAGGTCTTATATTAAGACATTTGATCCAGGTTGAGTTTTGTGCAGATAAGAGCCAAGGACCTTGTTTTATTCTTCTGCATGTGGAAGCTACTCTTTCGCACTGCCATACGCAAAAGAGTCCCTCTTTTCTCCCATGTATGTTTTTGACACTGTTTTCAGATTAGGTGGCCATAGCTGTGAGTTTGTTTCTGGTCACTTTATTCTAATCAGCCTACTTACCTGTTTGCCTTTACCGTGCTATGGTGCTAGCTCTAGCATTACACTCCACATGAATTTTAAGGTTACCTTTTCTATTTCTGTGAAAAATCTCCCGTCCTTCATCAAATTTGGGACTGACTCTGTAGCCCAGACTGACTTTGAACTCTCAGTCTTGCTGGTGTTGGGATTACAGATGAGAGCTGTATAACCTCATCTTCATCTTTCTCAGCTCCTTGACTTGCATTGTGCAGTTGATGTGCCCAGCTCACTTGGTCTCCCCTCTGCCATCTCAGCTCTCCCTGTGAGTCCTTCAGTGAGGTGTTTAAGGTTCCAGCACTGTACTTTCAGCTCCAGAATTCCCATTGGCTCTTTTCAAAGCTGGAGAGATGGCTCAACAGTTAAGAACACACGCTGCTCCTCTAGAGGATCCTAGCTGGATTCCCATCAACCACAGATGTCTGTAACCCTAGCTCCAGGTCAGAGCCTCTGTGGGCACCTGCTCTCATGTGCACATGCATATAATAAAAATAAATCTCAAAAAAAAAACCCTAAAACATCGTTCTTTATTGAAGGTCTCTGTGAGATGCCATGTTCCCACCTTAGTTTTATGAACATATGTAACAGTTCTGTTAGTCCTGGCATTCCACCACCTCATAGGCAGCTTCTGCTGCCTTCAATTTCAAGATGGTTGGCTATACATTCTGTTCCTTCTCAGACCTCTCAATGATGTTTAAATTTGACATTAGTAACAACTAATTGATCTTAGAACAACTCTGGGGCTTGTTACAGGTGTGCTTATGGGTAGATAGATCAGGGTTTTGGTAAAGATGGTTCTCCTGTGTTTGACTTTCTCAAGCTTCTGGTATCTTTGGGTAGGACCGGCACCCCTCCCTGTGAGCTCTCATTATCTACTGCACATCTGCTCCACCATCTCTGCAGTGTGTGCCCAAAATCCCTCCCAGAGTTTCTTCCTGCTCCCTTCCAGATACCATGTTCCGGCAGGGTTTAACTGGCTGAGCAGGGCACAAGGACAACAAGGATGTCTCTTAGAGCATAAGGATCCTGGATTCCCCTGCGGCTGTGCTGGACCCCTCCCTCATAGCTTCTGTGGGATGCAGGCTCTGTATGAATATCCCTAAAACTTTGTGTTGAAAGCAGAATAATCATGGCTCACAATAATTCCCTTTTCTGTCTGGCTCAAGAACACAGGAAGAACAGAGATCAACAGTGAAAAATTTTATTTCGTATGTTTAATAGTGACATTCTTCGAGTAGCCCCCACGAAGCAGGTAGGTGGTTTCTCCATCTCATTCCTTCAGTGAGTCCTGGTTATTTCTGGAATCTGCAGATTCTGGGTTTCAACACACTGGCTGCTTCATGTGATTACATATGAAAATAAGGAGGTGGCAAGGGTCCAGCTCAGGGCAGCTATCCAGAAGCAAGAGAAAGGCCCTGGCACACCACTCCCTGAAAGTCTGCCTGGCTTTTCTTGCCAGGATCCATCAGTGCTGTTTGTTTCTTTTTTTAGTGCTTTTAAATCCTCTGGCTGCACCCTGGCCAAAACAGACAGTGGAGGGTATTCTGAAAGAGAAAAACGGTCCTATCAAACAAAGGCATTATCTCTAACAACACACAGTTTCTCTGTACTTCCTTCACATTTGTATTCTGGAATGTTCTCCTTTTGCTCTGTGGAACACTCAGGAAATGGAGTCTGCCCTCTTGGGCCCTAGGATCAGCCCCTGGACTCAGGCTTGCTTCCTGTGGGATACCTTCCTGATACCAATGTGCATTTGCTTAGAAGAACTTAGCCAGCAAGGTCGGCTCCTGCTGAGGCCCCTATGGCATTGGTTTCCTGTTATCTCCATTTCTGAAACCTAATCACCACGGGCAGGCAGGGTACTCACAGGCCAAGGCCCAAACAACTATGGAAGATGGCTGCTGAGAGGCAACTGAGGGACACACATGTCCATCATCCTACCAGTTTAGATTCTGGGGCCACCCCGCCACCCACTACTGTTCAAAAACTTCCCCAAAATAACAGTCGATGTGAGTGTAATCTGTAAAAGATAGTCTGCAAGGCAGACACGGGAGAAGGTCCTTTCCACCCAGCAGAGATGACAGTGAAGGGGTGGTGATGCCTGCACGTGGGGCTCCAGGGCCCAAAGCACAGGAAAGGAGGGTAACTAGAACCTTCGGGTTGTCACCTGCCATGAAGCCCATCTTTCTGCCCAGGGTCACCCACTCTCAAGTCTAGGGTCATTAACACACACAGAAGGATGTACACACTGACCTGTGACTGTAGGTCCGCCTGCAGGGAGGTGGGGCAGCAGGTTCAGAGGAGATTTCCATGGCGTCACTCTCATCTCTCAGGGCTCTGGCTGGTGGCTCTGCTGCAGCTGGCATGGCTGGGCTGTAGAGGGAAAGCAGTGAGCAGCACCTGTACCTGGTTCCCTAGCACTAAACTTGTAAGGAAGACACTATTATTTTCCCTGCAATTCTTTTTGTAAACTATTTTGGCACATTCTAAGGTTACAATTAAATTTTCAAATTATTGGAAAAAGAATATTTTATGGCATCGTCACTGGTCATGCATTCATATAACTAAGTCTGATAATGTATAAATTATCATGGTGTACACCACCATGCTTGGCTTTTTTTAGGTGACAGGGATAGAACCTCAAGCTTATGCACTTCACCGAATGAACTGTCTCCCCATGCCCAAGCCATGTAATGATGATGAGAGTTCACTGAAAGGACCCTCTCAACCCCCCACCCCACCTTACAGAGTTTCTCTGTAGCTTTGAAGCCTGTCAGGAACTAGCTAGACCAAGCTGGCCTTGAACTCACAGAGATCCACCTGCCCCTGCCTTCTGAGTGCTGGGATTAAAGGCGTGCACCACCACCACTTGGCTCAAAAAGAATCATTTTTTAAGGGAAGCAAAAAAGCATTACACTAAGAGTTATTCCGGGAGTTTACTTTTCCCAGAGCAGTGTAAACAGTCATGGTAACAGACAGCTTTGTGGATAAGTTTTTAAAAGTCAGCAGAGAGAGAAAAAAAATGAAAACAAAACAAAACTAGGAGTTCCATGAGAGAAGTGTGAAGAGTGCATGCACTGGACAGTCCCCAAATGCCCCTTGTTGGTAGATTCAGAGGGGCACGCAGGGCACAGACCAGCACAAGCACCCACTAGTACCATTCCCTCTGCTCTCAGCCAGGAATTGCTCTCCTGTCTCCACTGACATATAACCCAAGCATACTAATTCACTGAGCTCAGAGTTCCAGCTACCTGTGTATGAAAACTAAGTCAAGTTTAACTACAGTGTCTGTTCCCTGGCTCAAGACTGGGGACAGTCACAACTGGTTCCCTCACGTACCCTCTGTTTGTCTTGGGCTTATCAAATCGGAAATCCGCAGGGTACAAGTGGAGCCTCACCATGTGATCCTTCCGGTCTTGGCTGGTCTTGAACTTCTCTGGGCAGCCTTCCACCAAGCACTGGTACTACAAAAGACAAGGTGGCACCTCCACTCTCACCCTGCCCTAAGCCCCGATCCCAAGGAACCATTGTAGCCGCGCTGAGTGTAGCCAACACCCACCATGTCTTGCCTCTGGGCCAGGATCTGGAACAGAGAGTCATGCCATTCCAGGATGTGGACATCCAACAAATGCCCAGAGGGGAAGGCCCGGCTGCAGAGGGAGCAGGTGTTTCCATGTAGCATGTGATAGTGGTGCTGGTAGTCCTCTAGCGCAGCGAACACTTGGCAGCAGCCAGCCACCTGACAGGTGAACTCGGGCACCCTGGGAAAGGAGGCATGTCACTTGGAAGGATGCCCCCACCCCAGGCAGGAATTCCAGGGGGATTTGAGCTTCCTGTGCCACCTCAAGCCTTACTAATAGACTAGGGGAGGGAGGACCCAGCCAAGCCATGCGTGAGTATGGGCAGGGTGGCGCTAAGCCAATAGTACTCAGGGTGTCAGCTGGGAGGGGTCCGAAACCTAGCCTGTATGCGGACGGGAGAGGAGGAACCAGGGTAGCGCTAGCAAGCAGAGAAAGGCCTCGAAGCCAAGCTGCTCACATGGACTTCTCCGGCGTCTCGGACACTTGCGTGAGCATGTCCTGCAAGTAGAGGTGCCGCTGCACGTCCCCATCCTACAGAAGACAGGCGCCAAAAGCCATGGGTGGACCTGGGCCCCGAAGCCCCGCCCTACAGCTTTGAACCACGCCCCAACCTATAGAGTTGTATCCAGCCCCTAAGTCCTGCCCACAGGTCCCACCCACACAGATAAGCTCCGCCTAGCCTAGCCCCGCCCACAGTCACAGTCCCGCCCCCTCGGCCCCGCCCTGTGTGTCGGGGGCTCAGGAAACCTTCCGCCCAGGTTTTCACGCACCTCAAAGAATTCGTGATCCCGCGGGAAGTGCACGGGGCGCGGAGTGAACCGGAAGGGCGCCGCCCCAGCTGCAGGGTTCCGCTCCACCGGCAGCGGCTCGGCCGCCCCGGGCGCCCCAGCTAGGCGGGAATATAGCGAAGGGGGAAGCAACATCTCCACGGTTGCCGCAGCCCTTCGGCCACCGTCGGCGGGGCGGGAACGGACATGACGTTTATTAACTTCCTGTGGCGACCCTGCGGAGCGGAACGCGGCGCGGGGAGGTGAGTGAGGGCTGGGTCTGGGTTGTGGCGGGAACCGGTCGGGGCGGGGCTGGAGCCGCACGCCGGGACCGGGTCCGCGAATCGGACTAGCCTGCAGTGGTAAGAGTCTGATTCTCTTGGGCGTCCACCGCCGACAGTTCCTACGCCTGCCCGGGCCTGCCCCACAGCTCCACGGTGCGACAGTCTCTGGCTGTTTCTGTCCCCTCCAGGCGTCCCGCTGGAGGAGGCAGCGGCCGTGGGAAGTTCACGGTTAATGTGACCCCTCTCTCCTGAGAGCCCTATGGTGACTACGGAACTGACTTGCCTGTCTTCTGGAGTGAAGGAGTCAGCCCCCCGCCCCCCTTCAGTAGAGACAGGCGAGGGAAGAAACCCTAACCTAAATAAAAAGGCTATTGAGATGTGCAGCTGACACGTTCGGGGCTTTAACTTTCCTCCTTTCCTAAAATACTGCAGAGCAGGGCTTACCTGTTAGAAGGTATTATCATGGAAGAAGATAGGGAAGCTTAAACGCTCCTAGCTTTCTCAGCCTGCCTGCCTTCTTTGTCTCCTTCCTTCCCTCCCTCCCTCCCTCCTTCCCTTTCTCCTTCCCTCTCTCTCTCTTGCTTTTTGGTTTGTTTTTTTGAGACAGGGTTTCTCTGTGTAACAACCCTGACTGTCTTGGAACTCACTTTGTAGATCAAATTGGCCTTGAACTACAGAGATTCGCCCACCTCTGCCTCTGCCTTCTGATTGCTGGGATATTAAAAAGTCTGCCACCACACCCAGCCAGCCTGCTTTCTCATACACTTCAGGAGCACCTGCTCAAAGGGTGGCGCCACCCACAGTGATCTGGGCCCTCTCCCATTAGTCATTAGTTGTCAGTCAAAGAAATGCCCCACAGGCTTGCTTACAGGCCAGTCTGGTGGTGGAGACAGTTCCTCAGTTGAGATTTTGTCTTCCTAGATATGTCTTGGTTTGTGTCAAGTTGGCAAAAAACCCGACCAGCACAGACAGGCTGGTTTGTACTATCATCCAGGAGCCTCTAGTGGTCCTCAACCTTCCTAATGCCTGCGACCCTTTAATACAGTTCCTCGTGTTATGGTGACCCCCCCCCACCATAAAATTATTTCATTGCTCTTCGTAACTTTTGCTACTGTTATAAATATCTGGTATGCAGGAGGTCTGATCTGTGGCCCCTGTGAAAGGATTGTGGGGTCTCGACCCACAGGTTGAGAATCGTTGCTTGAGATTCCCCTTTTCACGCCTCTTCTACCCCCACCCCAAGCCCATTTTTGTCATTGTCCACTGAAAGAATGCACCTGCCTTGCTCATAATTGGTTGCGCCAGACTTTGCTAAGTAAGTTGTGTTCAGTCCAGTGCATGTATGGTGACTGAGAGCGGTAGGAACCAAGGAGGGTGAGACGGTCCAGCGGGCTGTTAAGGGTTAATCAGACTTCTCTCTACAGTTGTATCTTTCAACTGTGACCTTGTCTTCCTGTATGTAAGGATGTCAATTTTGTTGAGGTTCCTGTCTGTGTCCTTTGCCCACTAACTGCCAAGAGTTTAGCTATGTCTCCTAGGGCATATCTAAAGCCTTAAAGGAAACTACCGTTTAGAGATGAGAGAAGCCTTTATTTTTTTCTGGAATTACGTATAAATCATGAAGCACGGCAGGCTCCTTGTATTAATATATAAGAAGTGGGGATATCTGAAGATTTACGCGTTTACTTGGATAGGATAATAAACAAGTATCTGTGTAGATGATCTTTCCATGTGAGTAGCTCTGCCCTCTGGGTCTGATGGTCAGGGCTGTGTGTTGGCGGCTCACACCTTCGTTACCGTCTAGCATGTTGCAGGACAGCCTTCAGGCCTGGGAAACGGCATGGTACTGCTGAATTTGGAGAGAGCATATGTTGGGGGAGTTTGGGGTTTTGCGTTCTGCTTGCTGGGTAGCTTAAAGCAACTCTTTTGAGACCTGCCAATATTTAAAAAAAAAATTCCTTGAACGTTTTTAGTTTCGTACGTATGGGTGTTTTGTCTGCATTTTTATCTGTGCACCATGTGCGTGCAGTGCCAGTGTCAGATCTCCTGGAATAGAATTACAGATGGTTTTGAACTACCGTGTGGGAGTTGGGAACTGAACCCAGGTCCACTGCAGGAGCAGCCAGATGCTCTTAACTGCTGAACTGTGTATCCAGCCCTAAGGGACCTGTCATTTAAAATACTGTCAGTGTCTTAGTATCTCTCTAAAACCAAACAATGTCCACATTACTTAGTAAGCATAACCAGTTTGCAGATAACAGCAAACATGTTGAGACAGCATTTGTTTTATTTAATCTCCATAGCAACTCTGGGTAGCTCTGTTACTCCCTCTTCTCATGAGAAGCAAGCAAGAGGCTAGCTAGCATTTTGTCACATCTTGTTTTAGTCCTTGGAGACACCTGTTTTGACCATCGGTGGAGGTTGATAAACTAAGAAACTGCTTTCTATTACACGGGTTTACAGTGTGAAACTCTCAAGGTAGAGATCCACGATGGCACTGTTTGTACATTGGCATACTGTGGGAGTGTGTGCTGAGTGCCCTTGGCACTGTTTAACTCAAGGCTTGTCTCGGTTGGAGATGTTAGCATAGCAGTTCTTAACTTCTGAGTTACAACACCTTTGAGAATTTACAAGAATGCTCAGAAAGTTCACAGGTCTGAATAGGAAAGTCTCATCTCCAAGCATAACTTCACTAATGTTTGTGGATCTCAAATTAAGAATCCTGTAAAAGTTTATTACCATGTTCCTATAATATCATCAAGTTTATTAGGCTTAATTTTGAATCTGTAGCTAGTGTCTGTTTTCCTTAATGCTCTTTCTTAGTGCTTCTGATACTGACTAGCTCAGCCATCGGTAGAAGAGTGGAAGACCCCATGTTGTCAGCTATTGGTACCAGGATATTGGTACATCTGTTACCACTAGGACATTATATACAGTCTCCACATGGTCAGCTACTTTCCCCTGGAATGATGGGATAGATGGGATGAAGTCACCAGCTCTTTGCTAACCAGTGGGAATTCACATGCCGCCTTCTGCTGTTGCGCTGTGACATCGGCTACAGTTCTGTTTGATTTTGAGACAAGTTTTTGCTGTGCATTCCAGACTAGCTTTGACTGTGATCTTTCTGCCTCCCCTCTCAAGTTCTGGGGTTACAGCCTCCGAAGTCGTTTTGATCTCCACCACTTTGGCCAATGTCTCTACTCTAATACTGCTGGTCCTAGAACATCAGGAAAGCTAGAATATGTGGAAATCTTACCTACCTAAAATATCCTTGTATGTTGCCAGGCCTGGGCCAGAAAAGGAAACATTGAAGGCTTTAGAGTGCAAAAAAGGATGCCAGACTTAAACCTTACAGTTTAGGGTTTAAGAACTGGGTATGCCCTCATGAGTGGGAAGTTTTAATACATCAGGACAGAGACAGTAACATAGGCCTGTGCAAGCGCCTCAAAGGGCAGGATCTTTGTGTCTACCCAGCCAGGGCCTGAAAAACTGAGACAAAACAGCAGATCTGCCTCCTGCAGGCAGGCCCATGATCACATGAGGATGGCTGGACCAGGAAATGAGGACAGGCTTGTGGGCCCATTTCTGTGAGTTACCCCGGACAGCTGGCTCCTTTAATGATGGTGTGAGCTGGAAAACAACTGGAGGCTCTGTCAATAGGGGCATGACACAGGTGAATGCAGTGACAATGGCTGGCAGATTTCAGTAGCATTTTGATAGGTCAGACTGTTCGGGACAGGGAGAAGCTCATGATTGACATAATCTTGGCAATGATTTTAATGTCAAAAGCTTGAATCAGTCAAAAGACATTTTAGGTTTTAATTTTGGAAGCCAAAGTAGCCAATCTTGTTTAGGTTTCAATTTTATGAACAGCCTCTTTCTGCCTTCAGGAGAATATTGCTATGTTGGTGTCTCAGATAAACTATGAGTGAATTTCGGATTCACCGTGATGTCAATGAGCTGCTCAGTCTGCTGCGCATCCATGGTGGGGGCGGGGCTGAGGTCTACATTGACCTGCTGCAGAAGAACCGGACACCATATGTTACAACCACAGTCTCTGCCCACAGTGCCAAGGTGAGTACCTGTTCCTGATACAGTACCACAGCAGTGGGGGCCTGAAGGTGCAGCCATGGGTGTGGACACTCAGCCTAGGGCCATGGGGATGGGCTGTCCCTGGTAGCCACAGCATGGCTAGTACTGGGCCAACAGCACCTGGTGGATGCTTCCTTTGAACCTGGCATTCACTGTGCTCTGCTGGTCTTCAGGTTCCTGGCAATAGCTCCTGTTATTTTATCCCGTTATATAAATGAATCAGCGGGTGTCCAGAGAGAGAGACTGAACTCTCACTTACACAGCCCTCCTCTGTTCTGAGGAGGAGACTTAATATATGTAAAAATTACTGGGTGGGAAAAGGAAAGCTACTGGTATTAATCACGTTGAAATTTCTTTCAGTTTTTTGTTTGTTTGTTTGTCTTTTCTTTTTATCTCTCTTTCTTTGTGTAGCCTTTGCTGATCTGAAACTCACTGTGTAGGTAGTACAACAGACTGGCCTTGAACTCAGATCTGTCTGGGATTAAAGGGGTGTACCACACCACACCTGGCTCAATTATTTCTTTTTTAAAGAATTCCTAATTTAATAATGCACCTTTAATAAAAGATACCTTTGAATTTGAAATCTACTATGTTTTTAAACCTAAAAACATAGATACTAGAGAGCTGGTTCAGTGGTTAAGAACACTTGCAGCTCTTGCAGAGGACCTGATTCAGTTTCCATTTCCCCACATGGTGGCTCATAACCATCTGTAACTCCAGTTCCAGAGGCTTCAATGCCCTTTCTGACTCTGTGGACACTGCATGCACATGGTGCAGAAATGTACATGTAAGCGAAACATTCAGACACATAATAAAGTAAATCTTTTGAAAGTTAAAATAAAATAAAATAAAGTAGACTTTGTGAAGCTTCACTTATTTAACCAGTGTAATGAAGGCATCGGTACAGGCAGATGGATTGAGCAGAGCATGGCTCAGGAAACACACACTCATTTGGTTTGTTGCCCGATCGTTAAACATTGCTGAGTGAAACGTTCCTAAATTGGTACAGGCAGTAAGTTCAAGAGGCAGCAAGTGTCAGAGAATGCATGAGCTTGAAGGAGAGCTGTGAGTGCTCCTAGGCCGTGGAGCAGAAGACAGGAGAAATCATAAAAGAAGGATGGCTGGATTTGGTGGACCATTGACATTAATTTCCTGTTTATTTCAGAGATGTGATTGTTTAGCTCATCTAATTCAGCTGTTGTTTATTTGTGTTTCTTTTTTTTAAGATTTTTTTTAAATATTTGATTTGTAACTGTCATTAATTTACTTCTGCTTGTGATTTGAGGTTAAAATTGCAGAATTTTCTCGTACTCCTGAGGACTTTTTAAAGAAGTATGATGAACTGAAGTCTAAAAATACAAGGAACCTTGACCCGCTGGTATACCTGTTATCAAAGCTCACAGAAGACAAAGAGGTGAGCTACCTGCCTCATCTGCATCACCACACCTGCTTTGGGGACATTGGAAACCCCCCCCCCCCAGTGTCTCCACAGAGTCCTCAAGGAGCCTGGGGTGCAGGTTAAGCCTCTCCTGCACATCCTGTCCCTGCTGTTACTGACTGGCAGCTGTACCTCATGATGGCAACACTTTGAAGGCATGTGTTTGATGAAATGTTAGCCTCTCCATACTGAAAGAATACCTGTAAAATTAAAGGGAAGTGGATGTATTAGCTCATGGCTTCAGTCCCCATTATTTTTGGGCCCAAGTTGAGGCAGAATAGAGAGTAGCCTGGTAGAGAGGTGACAGAGCTGCTGGCAACTGGAAAGCAGAAAGAGATGGACCAACAGGCGTGAAGAGTTCAGTTTGTGTTATCAGTGAGTTAATCCACTGATAAGGTTAGAGTCTTCATGAACCAACTCTTTCAATAACATCACCAGCTGGGGACCAAGCCTTTAACATGTGAACCTTTGGGGAAGACATTTTATATCCAAACTATAGCAGTGAATCATAATAACGCAGGATGGGCCAAGACCAGGAAACATGGATGTAGTAGCATGAGGTGTGCATGTTTGCTTTTCTCTGATGCTGTGCTGTATGTGCCATGTGTCAGTCTGGAGCCAGAGAGTGTGTGTAGAGCCCAGCTCTCCATCCATGCACAGATGAATACCAGGCAGGAGGACAGGCAGGGAATGTAGTAGAACATTTGTCCATTGGAGGTAAAATTATGGATTGACTGTCAAAGAAGACTGTAGGCTTTCTGTCCCCTGTTGCTTTGGTGATGTGACAGGTGGTAGAACACAGTGAGCTTTTGTGGCCTGGTGTAACTGGATGGTTTTATGTGTTTGCAGACACTGCAGTATTTACAACAAAATGCAAAGGAAAGAGCTGAGCTCGCAGCTAATGCTGCCACCAGCAGCAGCACCAGCTTCAGCATTCCTGTTGCTGCCTCTAAGATGTCCACACAGGAGCTAGAAGAGCTGAGGAACCAGTTTGGGGGTGTGGCTACAGGCTCCACACTGCAGCAGGTACCATATCTACCGTCGTCCACAGGGTGCTAGCTGTGCAGATATTTCTATTCCTAGTAAAGAAAAATAATCTGCCATAAGTGAGGCTAAGGCTGATTGTGCTCTACAGTCATAATTCTGACCCATAAGAATAAACAGTGCAGTGAGGGTCTGACCACGTCCACCTGCCGTGCATCCGAGCCAGCACCAGTCGTGATTCCTACCGGAATTTGTGACAGTTTCTAACACAATAGCACTTTTTAAATTACCAGTTATTTCCTCTAAGTTATGTTCTCCCATGGTAATTGCTGCTGCTTGGATTCATCCTGCCTCACACTGGCCTTTTTGTGAGTTTCGAGAGTCATAGCCACCACATGCCTGAATTTGAGACCCTCAGACCCCTCTTCACAGCCCTAGCTCTGTATAGTGCCCCAGCCTCTCCACTGTTTGCTGAGCACAGAGGACACCGCAAAACCTTTTAGGTATATCCCTGTACCATAGCACTAATACCTTTCACGTTGTGTGACCTACAAGTATGCAGAGCTAAGTCGGTGCTTCCAAAAGTTGCCAAGCATTGTTAGCCTCTGGTTGTAGTCTCCCCAGAAGGCCAGTGCTCTGTGCATGGCCTAGAATCTAGCCGTTGTGATGGACTTTCTCCATATGGCAAGGATGTATGCCAGTTGCTAATTCCTGTCTTATTTCAGTAAGTGGCATTAGATTTAGTCACTGCTAAGAAAATTGATTTTGGCTCTTCCTGCTTTGTGTCCTGATCTGACACAGCTCTGAGGTAAAATGCAGACATTCCTCCATGGCCCCCATGGTTCTCATAGCTGGTGCCCTGGTGCCTGTGGGCTCCTTGCTGGACAGAGGGACCTTCATAGGGCCTGGCTCTCTTGTTCCTAGGCCCAGATGTTGTGATGGGCAGATAGAAATATGTCGCCTTTTTAAGATCAAATGTCCTATGTGCTGAAACGATGGACTTTTTATATGCAGAAGATGTGTTAATTTCTGTAGATATCTTAGTTTTGTTTGCACTATGGTATATTTTTGTTTTTGTTTTTTTAAAATGTCCTTACTAGTCTCTGGAACTTACAAGAAAGATGCTTCGAGACAAACAGAACAAAAAAAATTCAGGCCAGCCCCTTCCGGTCTTCCCAGCATGGGTATATGAGAGGCCAACACTGGCTGGAGATTTCCTGATTGGTTCGGGCTTAAGCTCAGACACGGCTTTGCCTATAGGTATGTGATGGATTTCTTCCTGACACATGAGAACTTCTCCCTGCTTGCATGTGCTTCAGCGGGCTGGGGAACTATGGGTGTCATGCTGAAGCCCAGAGGACTTGAAGTGGTTGTTGTTCGTTCCTCCTGCCAGACCTTTGGGACAGTCCGAAGCTGGTCTCCCAGGCTGTGCACAGATGAGCAGACCAGAAGGGCACAGTTTTCTGAAGAGATTTGTGATTACTACAGAGTCCATCAAATATTAGTACTGTGTTTACAAAGGCCTTAGAAGTTGTGTCTACTTGACAGCATGCTGTTTCAGGGCAGGTTCTTGGAATCTGAGATGTGTGTGATGCATGCTATGGGCTGCATGCAATCCACAGTGTTTTTTCAGATCATATGAAATTTTGTACATTCATATAGCATACCTATGATATCCTACCCCTTTAATGGCAGGCCCAGTTCAGGAGGAACATGGAGTGGTGTGCCTTGCCACAGCTCATGAGTTCTGGGTAGTGTCGGTGTGTTGGTGCAGAGGTCTACTGTCACCTTTAGAAATACCTTACAGGACTGTTAGACAAATTGAGTGTTTTTCCTGTCCCTAAGCAGACATATTCTGCTACAAGTTAATGGGAAGGTAGAGACAGCTGGCTTTATGTCATGGACTTCTTGTTTGCAGTGTTGGTATTTACCTAATTGTCACCTGTCCCATCACCTGGTAGAGGTAACTGCTCTCCTGTCTATACACGGACCGTGTGGCCAGCATAGTCATTGTCCTTGGTGGAGCCTCAACCTTAGACATTCTCTTTCTGCAGCCTGAGGGTGTAATTGGTGTTCTGCATACTGTGTGTCCTCAGGACTCGTTCCTATGGGATTCCACTCTCTTCAGTAATGCAATACTTAGCATCATGAATCAACATTTCTCCAATTGTCCCAGCTCTGTGCCCTTCCAACTGCTCTTTCCAGTAAGCTCCCCTGTCTTCTCACGTTGCCTCTGATCCTTGACATTTAGTCCTGGACCCACCTCCTTTATCTCCCCTTTCCAAGTGGCTAGGTAAACTTTGTCACCTATTGCCATTCTGCTGCTGTACCTGCCACCCCCCACCCCCCCCAGTGGCTTACTCATACCTAGAACTGTTGAACATTGAAATTCAGTAAGTTTGACTAAGCAACTAGTTTTCTGTTTTATTACTTTAATCCAAGTAGCTATGGCATTATGCAGGGGCATGAATCTGACAACTCATCTTCCTCCCCTTTCTGTAGTTCCTGTACTTACTGTAAACATAGCTAGAGCTATGCAAGTGCAAGCTTTCAGTGCAAGGCCTGAGTCTTGGGTCAGCCGGTCCAGTGACAACTCTAGTGCCCCCCCCCCCCCCTGCAGAAACCCTGACAGTTTGTCCAGGCTGGCCCCTTCTGGCCCTTGAGCTCCATTTTTCACTCAGGCCCCACATACCAGCCAAGTTTGCTATCTCAGGGTGTTTGCACATTGTGTTCCCCAGCTCCTTCAGAGCTCATCCTGAAGATCTGGCAATACTTGCCTATCATGCTTTGTCCTTCCTTGGTTAGGAGTGGGACTTTGTGCTCATTTCCCTTTCAGTGCTGGGACCCGATCTTTTTTAAAACTACAGGTCTTGTGCGTGCCACCATAGTCTCCATGAGTTCATGTGTGCATTATCGGTCCTGCTGTGTCTTGAAGACATTGTTTAATTGGCTTCTTTTTAATAGTGATGATCTCTTTAGAAACCATGCCTACCTTAGCTCCAGTCTTACATGGGCTTTTCTGAATAGTCTTTATGCTTTGCATTTTATTTTATTTTAGGCTCCCAATTCTCACTGTAAAACCAATCTAAAAGAAGTCTGGGGGCTAAAAGGAGAGATGGCTCAAAGGTTAAGAACACTGACTGCTCTTCCACAGGTCCTGAGTTCCAGGACCACATGATGGCTCACAACAATCTATAATGAGATCTGGTGCCCTCTTCTGGCATTCAGGCAGAACACTGTATAATAAATAAACAAACAAATAAATAAGTCTTTTTTTTTTAAAAAAAGTTGGGGGGGGGGCTGGAATAAAAATGTCATAGCCTAAAGGAATGACTGCCTCAAAGTTACCTACCAGGATTAATTAATTAGTCTATTACTTTTAGACTCAGACTCAGAAATTTTCAGGGCACAAATAGTATGAAGACAAATTCTTGGCTAAAATGTAGCACAAGTGGCCTCAAGTCTGTGTTCCTATCTGACAGCTGAGAAGCCTGCCTTTCACTCTCTATTCCTAATGTATTCTGGTCATTGCTACTCACAGGACTTGCCCATTTGCTGGGGAATATTATTTTAAGATGTGTTGCTTTTGTTTATGCTGCATTTTTTTTTTAACTCTGTGAAGCTGTGATTCTTTGCCTCTCTAAAACTCCTGATGGTCCTAATAAAGAGGCTGAATGGCTAATAGCAAGACAGGAACAAGGATAGGCGAGGCTGGCAGGCAGAGAGGCTAAATAGAAGAAACAAGGAAGAGAACAAGAAGGGGAGGACAGGGGAGCCAGCCACCCATTGCTTAAATTCTAGGCTCCTCCAGCCTGCATTTCTAAACATTTCCACTTTCTTCCCACAAACTAATCCAAAGCCTATGAACCACTTGGCCAGGTTTAACAGAACTTGTTCATACCAACTTTCTGTATTGTTACTTTTTGCTGTGACCAAAATAACGCAGAGGACAACTTAAAGTTGGAAGGGTTTTGGCGGGGCTTGGGGAGAAGAGGCCCACAATTTCAGAGATTTTAGCTAATGTCCTTTGGTCTGTTGATTGTGGGCCCTCAGATGAGGCACCACATCAGGAGTGTGTGGTGGAAAAGCTGTTCATTTTGTAGACAGGAAGCAGATTAGGAAAGAGCTGGGGATCCTGTATAACCTTCAAAGGTATACCTCCAGTGTCCTACTTCTATAATTCCTGTGTCCTGAGGTTTCTGCACCTACCAGTAGAGCTACCAACTAGGGATCAAACATTCAACATAACCTGTGGAATATGTTCATATTCAAACCATATCAGGGAATTGCTTCCACTTTCCATCCATCTGTGTACAAGAGGTTACAGAGAAGATGGTAAGTAAGGTTATGGAGCTAAAGTCTAGTGTTGCCTCTGCCTTGCAGGTACACTGCCCTTGGCCTCCCAGGAATCAGCAGTGGTGGAAGATCTGCTCTATGTGCTTGTGGGTGTGGATGGCAGGTACATCACTGCTCAGCCCTTGGCTGGGAGGCAGAACCGTACCTTCCTTGTGGACCCCAACCTGGACCTGTCCATCCGGGAGCTGGTAAACAGAATCCTCCCTGTGGCTGCCAGCTACTCTACAGTAACCAGGTGGGTCCTTAATAAATTTTGAAGAGCCTGTGAGTCACCAATCCCTATCCCGACTCAGTTTAACTCTTACTGCCACAGATTCCCATTGGCTATAAGTACTGGAGTGAGTAATTTGCTTCTTAGATAAGAATGGGATTTGGAATGGGCTCAACTTTTTTTGGAAATTTAGCCCTTCCCCAGTTGTCTCATGTATCTTTGCTGTAGGTTCATTGAGGAGAAATCTTCATTCGAATATGGGCAGGTGAACCATGCCTTGGCTGCTGCTATGAGGACCCTGGTAAAGGAATACTTGATCCTGGTCACACAACTGGAACAGCTGCACAGGCAGGGCCTCCTGTCACTGCAGAAGCTCTGGTTCTACATCCAGCCAGCCATGCGGACCATCGACATCCTCGCCTCTCTTGGTGCGGACTGCTTGGTGTAGGGGCTGTAGGTGGATGGCTCCCTAAGGCAGCGCATGCCAGGCCATTCTGGTAGCAGGGTGGTGGGCAAAGCACTTGTCATGTCTTGTTTTCATGAACTATAGAAGGAAGGTGCCAAAGTATTTTTCTTTATTCTTGTTTTTTGAGTCAGGGTCTCATTATGATGTGTGCCATCACATCAGGCCTGGAAGCTTTTCTTGATAGGTTTCGTTAGCATCTGAAGCTTTAGCATCTGAGCATGGTGTCTTGGGAGGGGTCCTGCCTGCCTGCTAGGGGTGCATAGACACCTGGTAGTGAGCCACCCCTTTCTACCCATAGCCACTTCAGTGGATAAAGGCGAGTGTGTGGGCGGATTGACGCTGAGCCTTCTCCATGATAGGAGCTTCAACTACACAGGGGACAGCCAGGCGCAAGAACTGTGCCTCTATCTGACCAAGGCGGCCAGTGCACCCTACTTTGAGATCCTGGAGAAGTGGATCTACAGGGGCATTATTCATGACCCATACAGGTAGGCCTATAGGTGCCAGACACCTTTCACCTGGAGTCTCCACTGTGCGATAACCTGAGAAGGGACATGCCAGATGCAAGTCCTCAACACAGCAGTCAGCTAGGAGCTGAGGGAGTGTGTCGCTCACTCAACTGCCTTTCAGTGGCTTCATCCTGTTGAGTAAGGAACATTGGGGTCTAAATCTGGAGCCCATGTCCTTACCTCCGTGTAGTTGTGTGTGCTACCTCAGCATGGTACCTTTGACCATGTAAAGTAAAGGACTAGTTCATAGAGAGCTCTGTTCTCCTGTACTGGGGATAAACCCAGGCCTTGCATGTGCTCTATCACAGAGTGGCCTAGTGTTTCTTTACTGAGGGGCCAAATTATAGAATCTGGTGTGGTGAGCCTAGTAAGCATTGCAGTTTCCATCTGACTACAGGGAAATGGGTCTTAAAACTCTATGGGAAGGGTCTGGTTCTGTTGGTGATGGACCCAGGACAAGTCATTCTGTGTCCATCCTTTGACCATAATGGAAAAGTAGGGAAGAAGCCACCTAGCTCTGCCTCAAAGAAGACACCTGCTCCCAAGTGAGGCTACAATTACTCAGTGGTTGTGTAGGTGTTTCTAGAAGCATGTGACCACCTCGAGGTTGGCCAGGCTTGCCCTCTAGTGTCCTGAGAGACTGTGTGACTTGCAGTGAGTTCATGGTGGAGGAACACGAACTGCAAAAGGAGAAGATCCAGGAGGACTACAATGACAAGTACTGGGACCAGCGCTATACTGTGCTGCCACAGCAGATCCCATCCTTCCTGCAGAAGGTAGCAGGCAAGATCCTCAGCACAGGTAACTACTTGGCTCTGTCACCAAGGAGGTCAGTGGCCTCTTCACAGCCTTCCAGCCTCTCTGCCTCTGGAGATGATGTAACTGGGAATGACCTATTAGTCTGAACTGTTGTTAGCTACTGGTAGTTCTTAACTCTTCATGGCTTCATTCTGCCCGGCCCCCCCAATCTGGAAGCTATCTGCCTTAGACATAGCTTTCTCTCTTGGGTCTTAACCTCTAAAAGTCCATTCTATAGCAAGAAAAGCCATGAGGAACCCACACCTCCCAGGCCAACTGTATCCTTTAGTTTCATTGCACAGGTTAAGCCTGATGTAGGTATTAGGCAAGTGTTTGGGGCCTTGGCATGTATGCTCTGCTTTGAGAGCTTAGCAGCATCAGAAAGGGCTAGGAGATGATTCAGCAACCTAGCTCTCAAGGCTTTTTCAAAATCCTTCCCATGAAGTACAGTCCTGAGGAGCCATTGCAGGTCACTATTGCACAATCTTTTTCAGGGGAAGGAAGCAAATTGTACTTCATGTTTAGCCCACTACCTCATGTTAGATTTGTGTCATAAAGCTCCAACTTGAGATACAACATGTACAGAGATACTGAATCCACCTTCCTCTTTTCATTTATTTATTTACTTTTTCAGGAAAATATCTAAATGTGGTCAGAGAATGTGGTCATGATGTCACCTGTCCCGTAGCCAAGGAGATCATCTACACACTCAAAGAGCGAGCATACGTGGAACAGATTGAGAAGGCATTCAACTATGCCAGCAAGGTGCTGCTGGACTTCCTCATGGAGGAGAAGGAGCTGGTGGCCCACCTGAGGTTAGACTTTACTTCACATCCATGTGACTGAGAGTAGAATGTCCCTCTTAGCAACTTTTTTTTTGTCTCTGCACAGGCTCTCTGCCGCCCTAGTGTGAGGTGCCAGGGTCTTAGTTCTTTATACTGTCCAAGCCAACGAGTCTCTCAGCTCCTTGCTGTCTGCCTCTCCCCTGCCATGTCCGAGCAGTAGCTTCATGTCCCATGGAGAACTGCCAAGCCTCTACCTTACATGTTGAAGGTTGGGTTCAAACACCCCATCCCCACCCCTGTCCCCTGGCACAGGTCCATCAAACGCTACTTCCTGATGGATCAGGGGGACTTCTTTGTGCATTTCATGGACCTTACTGAGGAGGAGCTCAGGAAGCCAGTAGAGGACATCACACCCACACGCCTAGAGGCTTTGTTGGAGTTGGCCCTGCGAATGAGCACTGCTAACACTGACCCCTTCAAAGATGACCTCAAGGTGAGTGCAGTGTTAGTCACGGCACATGGCTTCTGAGACATTAGAGTGAGCACATAACAGGGCCCAGGCAAGGTGTCCCATCTTGTGTTTGTCCTCACTTCCCAGAACACTAGCTTGTAAGCACTTTGTTTGTCTCTGTGTCTGCTCTCACAAGGGACGCTGGTGTGTGCTTTTCTTGTGGGTTTGGTCTGCACCTGTGCCAGATTAGGTTCTCCTCACCTCACAGAGTGTATGGAGATATATGCTGCTTCTCTATGTTCTTAGGTGTGGTGAATGCACCGGTGAGTTACTTGAGTTCTGTCACTGGGCTTTTTCTGGAAGATTCTGCATCAAGGCTCCATCTCATGCAGGTCAAGGTCTTTCCTAACATCTACTTCTAGAGTTCATCCTGGACATCTGTATGTTTCTGTCGCCATCAACAGGGTGTGCGTTTGCTGCCATGCAGTGCAGAGAACTATTGTGGTCCTGAAAGCTGGCAGTAAGAACTCCACTTCCATTTCTCTGACTCCAGTGGTTTGTGTCTTCTGTTCTCCCTCACATAACTGAAAGCTTCTCAGTTCATTGATGTTTTTAAGAACTCAGTCTTGGTTTTATTGCTTTTCTCCCTTTCTATTCTTTGTTTCTATTAACTTGTTTCTGTTAGTGTTGGGCTTAGTTTCTGTTCCTTTTTTTTTTTTTTGAGTTTTGAAGTTAGGCTATTTTAACATGCTTTGTTGTCATTTGTTTCAAGAGAATCTGTAATTTCCTCGTGATTTCTTCTTTAGTGGTTTGTTTTGTTCAATTTCCACTAATTGGTACATTTTCAGGGTTTTCTCCTGTTACTTAGGATTTTTTGTTTTTTAAATTTTGTTTATTTTACTATAAATGTGTGGATATTTTGCCCACATGTGTATCTTTGCACCATATGCGTGCAATGCCTGTGGAGGGCAGAAGAGAGCATCTAATCCCCTGGAACTGGAGTTACAGGCAGTTGTGAGCCACCATGTGGGTGCTGGGAATTGAACCTGGGTCCTCTGAAAGAGCAGCCAGTGCTCTTAACCATTGAGCCATATTTCCGGCACTGTTACTTAGTTTTAACTTCAGCTGCCATGCTTGTAGAGTGTGCTCTGTGTCAGTTGTAAAGTGTCCTGGGATTCTACATGGATTCTTCTCTGCTGTGCAGGTCTTGGATGGTTCTTAGTGCTGTCCATGTGGCTTCCATATATTACTGTGAGTGGGCCTGAGTCTCCAGTTTTCTCCTAGGACTTCATTTTTCCTTGCAGTTCTGCTCTTCTTCACTTCATATATTTCTGGATTTCTTGTTAGGTACAGGAGTAATTTTATGGGGTACATTTCTAGTGACAGTCTGTGGCCTGATCATCCAGGTGGACCACACAAGAGCCATCTCAGGTGCTGGCTATGGGGCAAATGAGTCATGACTGCTCACTCAATGTCCCCATCTGTGTTACTTTGACAAGCAGGATTAGAGTGGTCTACATTTTCATGACTGTTAGGAGATGGTGAGCATTTGATTTGTTCATGAGCTGTTTGTGTTTTTCCCTCCTTTATTCTTTTTTTTTTTTTACTCAAGCAGTCTTTAATGAAAACTGTATGAGACGCCCCTACTCCTGCATCTTCTCAATCGTTTCTTCCTTGTATTTGCCCTTCTCCTTTCCTACTTGTCGAGACTTGGCTTTCCTTTCCAGGATCTTCTTTCGGTGTTTGTCCAGCTTTAGCCTGGTGATCACCACCTTGCTGGGGTGGATGCCCACGTGGACAGTTGTGCCATTAGCCTTTTCCTGCTGCACCCGTTCAATGTAGATGACGTATTTCTTCTGTACACTCGGACCACTTTGCCAATCTGCTGGCCTTTGTAGTGTCCCCGGACAACCTGAACTTCGTCATCCTTTCGAATGGGCATCGAGCGAACATTGTACTTCTGTCTCAGCTCTTTGGATGGGGGGAAGAGATGATCTTCCTCCGAATGTGAGAAGGTGCATTGAAATGCCATTTGCGGTTCTTGCTCCGGTCAGAAGTCACAAAGGGATTGAACTTCATTTTGGCGGCTGCGATCCCCCTCCTTTATTCTTTGTGCTTTGTTTTTTCTAGTCTTTTATATTCTGTGTCTTTCATGTTTTACAGGAGCCCTTGTCACACTGGCATGTGGTTGGCTCTTGATGAGTATTTTAATAATTAATGTTGTAGACAGTACTGTTTGTCTATAATAAGTTTTGTCATATATCTCACCTAGTATGCTTCATCTTCACAGGTAAAGTAAAAAGTCTTCACTCCTAAATTATTCAGTTTCTCCCCTATGGTTTCTCATTTATAACAGCAACAGTAGAAACATTTAAAATGCTGTTTTAGGACTGGAGAGATGGTTCTGTGGTTCGGAGTTAATTAGGCTTCTAGTGCTATGATAAGCACCATGAGTTAAGCAGCTGCGGGAATGGGTTTATTTCAGCTTCAGTTCTACATCATACTCCATCACTGATGGGAAGCAGAACAGCAACTCAAACAGGGAGGACCCTGGAGGCAGGAGCTGATGAACAGACCACAGAGGAGTGCTGCTTGCTGCCTTGCACCTCATGGCTTGCTCAGCCTGCTTTCTTATAAAATCCAGGACCACCTGCCCAGGGTGGCAGCCACCCACATTGGGTTGGGTAATCCCACATCAATCACTAATACAATCTACTACAAACCTGCCTATGGGCCAATTAATAAGCATCTTCATAATTGAGATTCCCTTTTTTCAAATGACTCTTGTTTGTATCGATTTGACATAAAACTAGCCAAAACACAAAAGTGTTTACTGTTTTTGCAGAGAACCTGGGTTTGGTTCCCAGCACTCACACTGGGCAGCCTGTATCTTTAGTTCCAGTGGATCTGATGCCCTCTTCCCACCTTCACAGGCACCAAATGTTCACATATTATATATACATATATAGATACATACATAAACACATACACACATAATATAAACATGAGTCCTTATGTAAGTAAGCGCCCTGTGTTTTCTCTTCCATTTTGATAGAAGGTGTTTTGATTTAATTTTTCTTGTGCGGTGCTATAGAAAGACCTAGGATCTCACACATGCCATTGTACTACATATATCCCAACCTAACATTGTATTTTGGAGACAAGGTCTCTACATAGCCCTGGCTGTCTTGGACTTTACTCTGTAGACCAGGCTGGCGTTCAGTTCACATAGATCTATCTGTCTCTGCCTCCCGAGTGCTGGCATTAAAGATGTGGGTCTTTGTTCTGGCTCTAAACCTAACTTATTAATTAAGGGTTATCAGTGGATGGTTAGCTTCTAATAGTATTTAAGGAAATTGCTTGCTTTTCCAACTCCATTCAGGAGTATGTCAGGGTTAAGACAATTTTCATACATCATTTTTTTTTTCTTTTTCCCCCAAGATTGACCTGATGCCTCATGACCTCATCACTCAGCTTTTGCGGGTTCTGGCCATTGAGACCAAGCAGGAGAAGGCAATGACTCATGCTGACCCCACGGAGCTCACACTGAGTGGTCTGGAGGCCTTCTCCTTTGACTACGTTGTCAAGTGGCCCCTGTCACTGATCATCAATAGGTGAGGCCTACGTGACCCAGGCCACATATGGTCAAGCCAAGTGCTTGCCACTGAGCTCTACCCTAACCTGACTTTTTAGTTAAGACTTTCCAGTTGGTGTTTAACCTCTCGGAGTATTTAAGAAACTTAGTTGCTTTTTCAGCTCAGTGCAGGTATGGGTAGGAGTCAGAACTGCCTGTTTGGACAGCCTCATGCTACAGGATGCTGGGTTGCTCTTGTCTGTTGGTGCCATCCTGCAGATAGTCAGGAGCACAGGCTGCCTTGCCGAGGTTCCTGACATGTCCCTCTTTGCAGGAAGGCACTCACCCGCTACCAGATGCTCTTCCGACACATGTTCTACTGTAAGCACGTGGAGAGGCAGCTCTGCAGTGTCTGGATCAGCAACAAGACCGCCAAGCAGTATGCGCTGCACTCAGCAAAGTGGTATGTCCTATTTTGCCCTCCCTGTCATTCTAAGAGCATTGTTTGAAAGTCACTTGTAGCTTTTCTGTTTTCATAATTCCCTACTAACTGCACACTCACTGTCATCCTCGTAGAGCTGACTTCCAGGCTCGGTCTGTATCACACAAGCCCTTCTCTATAGTCCCTCTTTTTCAGTATATAGAGCAATAAGTGCTGGGAAGTGCTCTGGTAATCTTTTGTACTCTAGTATGTGGAACCAGCTGATGTTCAAAGGAAAAGTTGAGGGTAAAATTTCAAGAATTTGCCTCAGGATGATAGGCAATGGTGGCACACACCTTTAGTCCCAGCCCTCAGGAGGCAGAGGCAGACGAATCTCTGAGTTCGAGGCTAGCCTGGTCTACAGAGTGAGTTCCAGGACAGCCAGGGCTACATGGAAAAACCCTGTCTCAAAGAAAACAAAGAATTTACCTCAAAGAGCTGGAGCAGTGACTTGGGTTAAGAGCATGTAGTGCTCTTGCAGAGGACCAGAGTTCTGTTCCCAGTGCCACACTGAAAAGCTCATTAGTACATGGAACTCGAGCTCCAAGGGATGATCATTTTCTGGCATCTGGGCATTTGCACTTACATGAGGATACCACATACATTACACATACATACATAATTAAAAAGAAATCTGGAAAAAAATTGTCCTGGTAAAACACAAGCATGTGGAGCCAGCCATGGTCGTAGTTCTTGGTATTAGCACCTACCTGATGTCTTAGCTCCTTTTCTACTGCTGTGATCAAACACTATGACCAAAGCAGTGTATAAAAAAAGAGTCTATTTTGGGCTTATAGTTCCAGAGGGATAAGAGCCCACTACTGCTATGGTGGAGAGCATGGCAGCAAGCAGGCAGAAATGGCAGCTGGAACAACTAAGCACTCACAGCTTGAATTGAAAGCAGGAGACAGTGAGAGATCTCAAATGGTGCTAGCCTTTTGAAACCTCAAAGACCACCACCAGTAACAAGCTTTGTCCAACAAGGCTGCCTCCCCAGACAGCCACCAACTGGGAAGATGCCATCCAAACCTCCACACCTGTACTGAGTAACTTAGTTAGCTACAGATCCTGCCCTGCCTCTCCGTGGTGTGGCTAGTTGGCACACTCTTTCAGGATGCAGGGGAATAAGAGTTGTGCTGAGTAAGATATTTACTTGACACCCTGATGAAGCCAGAAGTGAGTGTCCTCAAACTTCAGCATTGAGGCACCTTCCTTGTTAATGTCCTTTGTCCCTGAGTCTGAACCATCATCACGTGAGAGCTAGGATCACTCACGAGAGTCTGCTCTGCAGTGGAGTTGGGGCGGGAGCCATCACTGTACTGCGTGTAGTTGTGATGATTCTGCATCACATCCTCAGTAACTTGTTTCCGCACTCAGGTTTGCTGGTGCTTTCACTTTGCGGCAGCGAATGCTCAACTTTGTCCAGAATATTCAGTACTACATGATGTTTGAAGTGATGGAACCAACCTGGCACATCCTTGAGAAAAACCTGAAATCTGTGAGTTTCTGCTCTGCAGAAATACATGTAGCATCTAAAAGGCTCTTTCCAAGCCAGAGCGCATTTCATAGCACCGGCATATGCTAGCCGGTGTCATGGTGGTCACAGAAATGTCCACAGCCTCACATCTGCCTACTTCCTTCTCATGTACAGACAGGGCTTCCGTCCAACATGGTACATGAAAGAGGAGACAGAAAAAGACTGGGTAGCGACATAGTCTCTAAGAGATGACAGGCCTGTAGAAACAACGGAAATGTACAGGCAGTAGAGTACCAAACAGAACTGAAAGCCACGTGCACAGTAACTTCAGGGAAGTCTCAGGCCTTTGTTTGCAGGCTTCCAACATTGACGACGTGCTTGGCCACCACACAAGTTTCCTTGACAACTGCCTGAAGGAGTGCATGCTGACCAACCCTGAGCTGCTGAAGGTTTTCTCCAAGCTTATGTCTGTGTGTGTCATGTTCACCAACTGTATGCAGGTGAGGACAAGGAGGCAATATGGGAATGTTTAATGTCCAGGTTATTGCTGTATGCCACTCTGTCCTACAGCTTCTCCCCTTCAGAGCTCCTGGTCTTTGTGGCCAGTCCGTCCCATTCAGGCAGGGAAGCTATTTAGGGGCCCTGCCTTATTTCTTATAGTATCTCTGGTACTGGTCTCTGTCTTAGGCCTCTTCTGAATGCTTTTGCATTCATTTGTCAAAACTTAGTATTAAAGTTGTCACAAGCACTTGTCCAAAATAATGCAGAAAATATCAGGTGACAAAAGGGTAACCCAAGGTCTCTGGGCTGGAGGATGCTGGGAGCCAAGTGGTCTTCAGGCAGCACTTTGGAGCAGATAGGAGGTAGGAGATATAGGTGGTGATAGGTTATAGAGGAGCCAGGGCTGTGAAACTCATTCCTTAGGTGTTTAGACACCATGATAATTCCCATAGAGGAAAACATGAAACAACTATGATTTTATGAAAATCAGTTGATAACCATTGAGAAATATAGCCTTGCAAATGCTGAGAACTAACATCCTGTCTACAGCTTTGTGTTCCTGTGTCTCTGGGTTGGGTACTGTGTTCCTGTAAGTACTTGCTGTCTTGTTATGGTATGCTGTGTCTGGAACTAATCATAACCTTTCCTCATGACCTACCCTTAGAAATTTACACAGAGCATGAAGCTGGACAGTGAGCTGGGCCGGCTGACACTCGAGCAGGGTAGTGCACAGGGGCCACCCACAGAGACTGAGCGGACTGAGGAGCGCCCCCGCAAGGAGCCTACCAGGAAGGTACGTGACCTTGGGGCTTGTCAAGAAAGACCCTCTTTCTAGTCAGCTGTGGCAGTGTTGGCATTTTTAACCCTTTCCTGGTTGTCACCCATGTGATGGGGAAAAAAACGGGTCCTGCAATTAGGTTCAAAACACAGCCATTAGAGTCTTTCCACTGAGCCTCCAGACATCTGGTCTCCAGAGTGTGGCCAAGTCATCTATACAACAGTATTGTGTGGAGTGGGCCTGAATGCCCTAGAGCACAGAGCTTTGCTTGGCTGCAGTTGGTGCTTAGTGCTTATCCCTGTTGGTGCAGATGACCTATGCAGCCTTCAGGATTCATGGCCACGAGTTGGCAATTCGGAGATGGTCTGGGAGCATGTGAGGGTCAGAAGCCAAGGACAAAAGGAGATAAGGTCTATCCTCCTTGCTTCTTAGTGTACAGGAGGAAAGCACACCAGTGCTGAAATCAGACCTGTAGAGAGCATATAGTACCCATTGTTGGTTCTCCATGCTGTGAGCCTGGAGAAGCCCCAGTGGGCCTGTTACCCTAAGTATTTCTCCATTTGCTGTGTTCTGATACCCCAGTTTCCCATCTTGTATAATAATGGGAACATCACAGCTTCTTTCATTAACAACATTTGGAGGGTAGAGGCAGGAGGATCAAGCATTCAAGGTGAGTTCCAGGCCAACCTGGACAACATGAGACTCTGTCTCCAAAAAAGAGCCAGAAGTGGTGGCACATGCTGTAATTCCTACTCTCAGAAGGCTGTGGTAGGGGAATCACAAGCCAGCCTGAGCTATGGTAACAACAGTCTGTCTCAAAACTAAGAAAAGAAACACAAAAAGGGAAGAACATCCTTGTAGCTAGCAGAGAGGCTAAGCGCCTACCTGGTAACTGATACTGAGCTCCCTGGGATTTGTCTCCAGCACCTGTCCGAGCATGTGGATACTCCTCAGCTGGCCTCTGGGTTCGAGGCCACCATCAATAACTTTGACAAAAACTTTTCTGCCCATCTTCTTGATTTGCTGGACCGACTAAGCATCTACAGCACCAGTAACTATGAACATGGCATGGCCAGCGTCATCTCCAGGTAAGAAACACCCTTCCTGACTTTGAAGCCTATCCCTGTCATCTGCTTTCACTGTAGCCCTCGCTCCCCGTATCCCTAGCAGCAGGCGTCCTAATCTGGGCAAAGGTGGAAGACGGAAGAGGTGCCAGCTGTGAATACTCTGGTGAAGGGGTGTCTGCTTATCACTGGGATAGGAAAGGGGCTCTGACTTCAACCAGGAACTGGGTACCATCCCTGAATTACCCTTTGAAAAGTGCTAGTTTGTACACTGGAATCATCTGGTACATTGTGCCGTCCTACAATGCCCTAGTTTCAAGGGTTCCTAGAACCGAAAGTCACTGTCAGGCTTCCCAAGCCTGGGGCACCCTCAGAATTCCATTGCCAGAAGATAGGAACCCTCACCCATGGTGTTCAATAAAGCCCACCAGGATTGAGACCTGCAAGAGTATCCGTGCACTGGCAGGTGGAGCATGCTCTTCCCTCTACCTGGAAGAGGTCCTAGTTGTGTCTGTTACTCACCTTTACATGATTGGGAGAAGTGGGGTTGCCACATGTATATCTTCTCAGCTCGGGCTGGACTCTGCCCTATCCTGGAGTTTCCCTGACCCTCCTTTCCCTCCTCTAAAGGCTGGATTTCAATGGTTTCTATGCCGAACGCCTGGAACGTCTGTCTGCAGAGAGGAGTCAGAAGGCTGCTCCCCAAGTGCCCATCCCAAGGGGGCCCCCAGCATCAACACCCAGAGTGGCCATCCCTGCACAATGAGCTCCCTTTTTAAATACCATCTTTCTGAACGTGGGCGTTGGTGTTATTATTGTTTAAGTGTGGTTTGAGATTCCATCTTGGCTCGATGAGTTCCTTTTTCAAGGTACTAGATTTCCTTTTGGAAGCTTTTCAGAGGGCTGGAGAGATAGCTTAGTCAGTACGTGCTTTCTGTGCAAGTGTTAGGACCTGAGTTCAGATCCTTACCATCTTAGTTAGGGCTTTCGTTGCTATGATGAAACACCATAGCAAAAGCAACTCAAAGAGGGTAGGGTTTGTCTCATCTTATAGCTTGTAATCTAGTCCATCATCCAGGACAATCAGGGCAGGAACCGATACAGAGGCCATGGAGGAGGGCTGCTTACTGGCTTTCTCCCATGGCTTTCTCGACCTTGCTTTTTTTTATCATCACACCCAGGGCCTGCTCAGAGGCAACACTGTCCACGCTGAGCTGGCCCTTCCTGTTTCAAGCATCAATCAAGGAAATGCACCACAGAACAGCCTTGTGGGGCATTTTCTCAGTTGAGGTTCCCTCTTCTAAAATGGCTCTATCTTATTTGAAACTGATGTAAATTTCACCCAATACACCACCTGTATAAAAAGTTGAGTGTAGTGGAACATTCTATTCCCAATGCTGGGGCAGGGAGAAAGGGTTCCTAGGGCTTCCTGACCAGCCAGTCTAGCTAAATCATGAGGTCAAGAGACTTGTCTCTTAATTAATTAATTAATTAATTAATTAATTAATTAAAAATAGGATGGATGGTAATAGAGGAAGTAACTGGTATCAGTCTCTCGCTTCTACATGCACAAGCATGCACACAAACACAAACAAATATGTACATGTACTTGCAAAAGGAATAAAAACGAAAGCTGACTGTACCAGAGTAAGGTTTCTTAAAACTTAACTGTGTTTGCCTTCAAAGTTCAGTGTGTGTGGGGGGGGGGAGGGTGGTGCTTTTAGCCTCAGACAGTAAAAGCATGTTTGTGCAAGGAGCAATATAATTAGAAAATACCAGGCAAGGGAGGTGTAGCCTGGGGGTTGGGACTGTTCTCTACATGGTTTGGATCTGCCTTTATGGACGCTAGGGGGCAGCATTATCCCTGACTGAAGGTGTTCTCACTTCACCAGTGTGTGCCCAACTCTTCACCCAGAACCCTTAAGGTGTACTTTCTGAGATGTGTCCTTGGAGACAGACTAAGCTTTAAGCTGGACGCTACTCCTGCCCATCAGGGTCTGGATGCCCTTTATCCATTAGATCAGGCCTTTCCTTTTGAAAATTATTCAACAAAGTATCTAACAAGTTGTACTGTGGCGGCCTCATCTCAATGGCTTTTTGTTTCAGTCCTGGAGTGGACAGTTTTAAACATCTGCCCCAGGTGAGCTTGGGGAATGAGGAAGTGTTTGGAGGAGTGAGAACTGGAGGCAGATCTCTTGATTCTGCAGCTGGTAAGACTGTGGATGACCCAGTCAGTACTGGCTAGCTAAACAGAGGCCCCCTGGAGTGCCTGTGTTTTGTTTCTTCTGGTCTGCAGCACGTGCAGGCTTGCCTGAGTAAACGTACATTGGCCAAGCCAGTGTTGTCAGAATAAATGCCAGACTAAGCAGAGCTTAGTGGTCTGTTTCCAGGAGTCCAGACACCCGTATCTCTGGTCTTGGATCTGCAGCTCCCAGGTTTGTGTGGGACCCAACTACAAACCTTCAGAGAACCTGCTGGGCGAAGATAGCAATAAGTTGAGTCTGTCTTATGTGGTGGAGTGAGTACCCATCATTTCCAATATATTTCTGCCAGGGCAGGACAAAATTGGCCCCACCTGGTCCTGGCTTTTGATTTTACTCTATTCCGTTGCCTTCACTATAGATGGTTGGATTTACAAGACAGTGGTACATACATACTGGCAACTGCTTTCGATTGTGCCTCCTATTTGACAAAGGAAAAATTGCTTTGAACCTTCACTGTTACTAAGGTCCTGTGTATGTGGAAGTCAGCCTTGCCCAAGAGCTCTGCCTGCTGCTTTTTGCAGCCTGGTGTCTGTTCTAACCCTAAGCACTGTGGGCTGATATCTCTGGCAGCAGGTTGCTGGTGAGATTCCTAAACCATTGCTACATTTCTGACCAGTGGGGGTAATGGTGTCATTTGTGCCCCAGCTTAAATTCTTAGGTATAGCCCTCAGAATATGGTCCAAGACTCCAGCCCAGCCCCACTGAATTCTTCTGGCTGAATTGTCAAGCCCTGTTGATAGTCTGCGTGTCTCCCCCTTTAGGTCTCTTACCCCTGGTAGGGTAGATTTGTGGAGTCTGTAAGGTCTAACCATATATGTCCACAAGGCTGGGTCACAGAAGAAGACATTACCACAAATAATAAACAGGCTTGACTATATTCCAAATAGTCCTGGGTTCCCACAGTAACAGACCCACCTGGAGAAGCTGGGAAGTAGGCCATATAGGGGTGCTGAGACCTCTTGTTCTGGGACAGCACTACCTTTGGGACACGAAGGACAGAATTCAGGCCTGACAATGGAGACTGGTGCATCAGGACCCAAAAGGATCAGTCAGGTAGACTTCTTGCTTGCTGTCACTTGGTCACCTGGGCCTAGATATCCACCTGCCTGTTCCTACCTGCATTTCCCTTCCCAGTGAGGCCTCAAAAGCATGGTAGAGCTCGGCAGAGATTTTGGAAAATGTCAGCTCCCACAAAGTGGTCCCGGGACCACACTGGCCCTCCCTAAGGCTTTCAGTTGTCCTGGAAGTCAAAGGGTCCCCACCTTCTGACGTTTCAGGCTTACAAGTAACTTCCCCTTCAAAAGTCATCTTCTTCCAGTTAGACTCCACCCAATTAGCACTCCCCAGCTCTGGTAGGACTAGAAGGCAAGCTCTTGGTTTCTCCACCAGGACTAGGAGCTTGTAGAGTTGGTCCATGTACTGTCTCCAGCTCCTGTTAATTTGGTCCCCAATTATGGGAGATGCAAAGCTAGCCAGAAGCCACTGGGGAAGAGCCTCTGTAACTCCAGATTGCTCTGGGGGCTGGTTGCTGCCAGCAGGATACTGGTATAGAGGTGTACACATCTCGCCCCGCCCAGCCCCACCCCAGCCCGCCCCATGACTTAGCGATTGGCCAGCCCTGATCTCTGGGAAGGGCTCTCAGAAGTAACCACACTAGTCAGTGCTCAAGACAGAACTTTGTGAAACCTCTAGGGTTAGTGTCTTCAAGATCCCATCATGCTTGGCCTCTGGCTACTCAGCGCCCTGTGGACACCAGGTGAGTGATGATTTTATTTCAAGAAACCCATTCAGGGCTTGGTATTCGACCTAGTAGCCAGTTATCATCGTCAGGTCACCTTGCCTCTCTAGAGTTGGTTCTTGGGAATGGAGAAAATAGGTAGATACAGAAAAGATCAGAATTTGGATTTTTCAGAAGTGAAGTGTAAGAGAAGTTGGCTCCTGGGACTTTCCCTCCTGAGCGGATTACAGAAAGAGCGACACCACTAGGTGTGGTGCCCACAGGGCAGCTTCCCTGGCTGCTATAGGAGTCCAGTCAGCAAGGTTCACTCACCTGTGGGACCATGGATGATGTTGAACCCTCTAGCTGGGCAGGGTCAGAAGCTAGAGATGCAGTGGTCCCAGCTCCCTAGGAACACAGGGTCCTGACTCCCACTGGAAGACTTGGTTTACTTCTGTCCTGGGAGGCATCTGGCTGGAATGGTCTCTCCTCTTGCCTTTTAGTCCTGTAAGTTTGGGGTTAAGAAGCTACACCCTTTGCCTATGCCAAGAGAGGACACTTCTCTGGGATAGGTGGTCTCTAAAACTGGGCCTGCCTATAGAGGGTCCCTCATCTGTTGTTGGACACAAAGTTTTCTGTTGGGAAGAGAAAAACCTGAGGGAGGGTGTGCTTTCTTAATCAATTAGATCTGATCATGTAACTAAAGATGAGATCAGGTCAACTCTAGATGTCTGGCAGGCAGACCAAGGGCCTATGTGTTTGCTCTCTGGGTAGGTTTAGATAGGCACTGGGGAAGGATGGGGGCACTGTGCGTGGCGTGCTAGGTTCAGACCGCTGACTCTAGTACTATGGATCCTGTGGTATTTTTGACACAAAGCTCTTACCTGGACCACCAGGTCAGATCCCATTGCTGGTACCTAGCCATGTGGTGATTCCCCAGATAAGAGGGGAAGCACTGCCTGTGCGGTGCCTTCTGACCCCTTTCTCCTGCAGCCGTAGCTCCTGAACCCCCTTTGCCCAATGTGAAAGAGTATGAGGTAGTATGGCCTCGGCGCCTGACTGCGTCCCGCGCCCGCAGAGACCTGCCCTCCCACTGGGTGAGTCCATTAGCTCCACTGCACAATCTGTTTCTGTGAAAGGACCAGCAGTCTCTGGGGGCTGCTCTGCACAGCTGCAGTACCTAAACCTGTCTGTGTGTCTGGGCATGACTATGGTCTCTCCCTGTTGTGCTTACCACTTCCTGCCACCACCCTGAATCAGAGTCTAGAGCTTCTCTCCTTTGGAGGCCATTGGCTCCATCTGGAGAGGCCTGTCACCCAGGAGAGGTACAGCAGTTTGTGCTGCCCCAGGCCACTCCCCAGTTTCAGTTGGCAGTGGTTCTTCAGATTAGCTAGCAGCTGCTCACCCTAAAGCTATGTAAACGCGACTAGAACCTCTCCGGCTGGGATTTCCTGGGGCTGGGAACCAAGTATAGCCTATAGACCTCCAGGAAGGTGCCTGGGCCTGTCCTTGTTTGGATCTCCAGGAAACATCTCTGCCTGGGCTTTCCTTTTTCCTGGTGTATGCTGTCCCTAGGGCTAGCTGGTTGTGCACATGGTGTATGAGTGAAGGGTCATAGAGTGTAGAGCACACACCTGCCCTGAACCTCAGGATGGACACCATAGCCAGCTGTGCAATGGTACTGCTGAGAGGGTCTGTTTACCTTGCCCACCCCCATGTTGCCCTGGATTCAGTGGCTCTGGCTAAGGCTCCCTATCATTTCCTACCCTGCTTCCTCTGGGAAGGAATATCATATCATCATCATCATCATCATCCTGTGAACAAATGGGGAAATGGCTCAAGGGGCCAAGAAGCTCTATGCTTTTCTTGTTCATCTTGGAGACTTGCTTTGCCTGTCCTTCCCAAATAGCTCAACCTGGCCCCAGCCACCTACTTTCTTGCCTGAAACTAATGAATTGCAAAGATCTCCTAGGGAGGTCCTTCTGGGGCTCTCTGCTAAGAGAAACGTTGGCTGTAAGCTGAAGGCCATTCACTGAATCCCCATCCAGGGCCTGTACCCAGAGAATCTGAGCTATGTTCTTGGGACCAAAGAACACATGTTCACCCTGCACCTTCGGAAGAACAGGTAAGCAGATTCTGGCTCTTGAATCAGTTCCTGAGTCCAATGGGAAGTGTAGGCTCTTTATAGGGGCTGTTCAGGGGGAAGGTGAAACTAGGGAGCTTAAGTGGTTCCCTTCCAGGGACCTGCTGGGTTCGAGCTACACAGAGACCTACTCAGCTGCCAATGGCTCCGAGGTGACAGAACAGCTACCTGGGCAGGTATGTGCCAGGACAGCCTTCCCTGGGCCAACGAGACCGTGGCAGCAGGACCTATGACCCTCTCTCCCTTTTTCAGGACCACTGCCTCTACCAGGGCCATGTGGAAGGGTACCAGGGCTCAGCGGCCAGCCTTAGCACCTGTGCTGGCCTCAGGTATGTACTGCAGACCCAAGAAGGAAGTCCCATTCTACAGAAGGGTAAACTGAGGCAGTGTAAAAAAGGCCTGGGGCTGGAGAGATGGCTCAGCAGTTGTGAACACTGACTGCTCTTCCAGAGGACCTGGGTTCAATTTCCAGTGCCCTCATAGGAGCTCACCACTGTCTGTAACGCCAAGATCTGACACTTTCACACAGACATATATGCAGGCAAAACACCAGTGCATATAAAATAAAAATAAATAAATCTTAAAAAAAGGAATAAAGAAAAAAGACCTTGGCATGAGACTTTGAAAAAAAAAAAATCTCTTCAAAACCACAGAGAAACCCTGTCTCGAAAAACCAAAAAAAAAAAAAAATCTCTTTGCTGTTCTGTGTTTGGAAGGGTTGGGGCTCTTAGACTCCATTAAGAATTGCCAGCCACGCCAAACCCATGTGCCTTCTTGTCTCCTATGACCACAAGCCTGGGCATCTCCCACAAGGGTGGGAGGTGGCTGTTCCGAGGCAGTAGGCATGGACTACCTGTAATCCCTGATAGGCAAGCTGACCATACCCTCTGTCCATCTGACTCTCCCTTCAGGGGCTTTTTTCGAGTTGGGTCCACTGTCCACTTGATTGAGCCTCTGGATGGTGATGAAGAGGGGCAGCATGCGATGTACCAGGAGAAGCACCTGCAAGAGAAGGCTGGGACCTGTGGGGTCAGCGACACTAGCCTGGATGACTTAGGGCCTCGGGCCTTAGAAATCTACAGTTCTCAGCCTCGGGTGAGCAGCCCCTGCTGGCCAGTCAAGCCACAGAGCCCATGTTTGGGCCTACGCATGGCTGTCTGTAGTCCTGAAGTAGTCCCCATGGCCAGTGGTTGGACCTGGTTCAACCCTGCTGCTACAGAGAAAGCACTGGAGATGTCTAGACTTTGCCTCCCAGCACAGAGTTGGGCTCTGGGGTAAGTTGGGTCAAGGCCAAGAATGCTGACTAGATTCTTTCCCTAGAACTGGCTGATACCCAGAGAACCCCGATATGTGGAGTTGTATGTGGTCACAGACAGCCAAGAGGTATGGGATGCAGGGGCTGAGAGGGCTGGATGAGCTGGAATGAGGTTGCCAGGTCCCAGCCTAAAGACCGTATGTTTCTAGTTCCGGAAGCTGGGGAGCAGAGAGGCCGTGCGCCAGCATGTATTGGAGGTAGTAAACCACGTGGACAAGGTAGGTTACCCCAGGGATGCTGACACTTGATGAGAAGGTGTAGCTGTTTAGGGTGAAAAGGGCAAGCTAGCAGATCAGGAGGGGAACTAGTTCAGGGCTCTATACTGAGCTCAGTACCCCTCAGTGGTGAAATGGATGTAATGCCCGTCTGCCCCAACCCCAGCCTGACCTAGGTGGCATCTCACCCTCTGCAGCTTTATCAGGAGCTCGATTTCCGTGTGGTCCTGGTGGGCCTGGAGATCTGGAGCAGAGACAAGTTCTACATCAGCCCCCATGCCAATGTAACACTGGAGAACTTCTTGAACTGGAGGGAACAGAACTTGCTAGGGCAGTATCCACATGACAACGTGCAACTTATCACGTGAGTGGGCCGGCACACCCATCCACCACAGTGAGATAGAGCCAGGCCCTGGAGATTTGGCTTCTGTACAACCTGGCCTTGAGGGCAGGACACCAGAGCAGAGCTGTGAAGGGATGAAGAGGGGCCAGGAACCATGTCCAGGATATTACATGTTATGTCTGTTTCTAGAGGGGTTGATTTCATCGGCAACACTGTCGGACTGGCTAAGGTATCTGCCCTGTGTTCCCGGCACTCGGGAGCTGTGAACCAGGTAAATAGAACTCTCAACCAATTTTGCCAAGCTGTCTGGTGGCTGAACAGTCAAGCACAGAGTCTGAGTTGTGGGGTAGAAGTGTCAGTCCAGGTCCCTAAGAAACCACGAAGCAGTCACCTACTCTGGGGATGGATTTGGAACCTGTTTTTTGTTAGGGTATTAAGCAGAAAGCAGCATCACACCTGTTGACACCTAGGGTGGCAGAGGGCATGTGGGTAGATGGTAGCAAGACAGTACTAATGATCATATCCTCATAGGACAATGCCAGGGACCCCATTGGTGTAGCATCCACCATGGCCCATGAGCTGGGCCACAACTTGGGCATGAACCATGATGAGAGCATCCCAGGCTGCTACTGCCCTGTACCACGTGAGGCTGGTGGCTGCATCATGACCCAAATATTTGGGTGAGGTCTAGTGGGACATGTTGGGTGGGAAGGAACAGACTGGCATGTGGAACTCCCTGATGGTCATATCCCTTTCCCTTAGCTCCAACTTCCCAAGGAAATTCAGCAGGTGTAGCCAGGTTGACCTAGAGTCATTCGTGATGAAGCCCCAGACAGGCTGCCTGACCAATGTCCCAGATGTCAACCGGTTCGTGGGAGGCCCTGTGTGTGGAAACCAATTTGTAGAGCATGGAGAGCAGTGTGACTGTGGTACACCTCAGGTCTGTCTCACCCTCTCCCTGCCCCTTGCTGGTCAGCCTCAGCATTAGTGTAGGGGCCTCAACCCAAGGTCCTTTTTGCTTAGGTTAGCCTCTCAGGCCTGATGTTATATGCCACACCACGTGTAACCCTTGGGAATCACACGTTACCACATTTCCCTTTGAGCCCCTAATAACCTATTAAGGAATTGGAGAAAAATTGTCTGCGGCCCCTTGCCCAAAGTTCACCAAAAGCTAATTTACCCTGGAGCCAGGTCTGGCTAGGGCATAGCTGTTCAAACCACTGTCCTCCTAGGACTGTAAGAACCCCTGCTGCAATGCCACCTCTTGCCAGCTAGTCAAGGGGGCAGAGTGTGCTTATGGTGCCTGCTGTCATGAGTGCAAGGTAAGTTGGACTCCACCCAGGATCTGCCCCAGTCAAGCCCGGGACAACAGGATACCTATGAAGGCATCATGTGGACCTGTTCCACGGTGAGCTTCTCTGTGGTACCAGGTGAAGCCAGCTGGTGAGCTATGTCGTCCCATGAAGGACACATGTGACCTGGAGGAGTTCTGTGATGGCCAGAAGCCAACATGCCCTGAAGATGCTTTCCAACAGAATGGCACACCCTGCCCGGGGGGCTACTGCTTTGATGGGAGCTGCCCCACACTGACACAACAGTGCCAGGATCTATGGGGGCCAGGTGAGGCAGGCATGAGCATAGGATGGGGGCGAGCTTGCGGAGTGTCTGTGACCTACACCAGGCTAACTTCTCCTGCCCCCCAGGTGCCCGGGCTGCATCAGACTCCTGCTTTACCTTTAGCATCTCTCAGGGCTGCCGTATCAGTATGTATGCTGGCAAGTAAGTAACAGCTGGGGGCTGGGGGTGGCGTGTCTTCACTGACAATTCCCCACAGAGGAGGACTGCTCTGTGAGACAGGTGGCTCTCCTGGAGTCTTCCCTGCTTCAAGTCATCAAGCTTGGAGGAAGGAGAGGCCTGGGGCCATCTCCTGCAGCTCCCAGGCCTCTGAGCACGTGCCCAGGACACCTGTGACCACAGCCTGCCCTCTGTCTGCAGAATGAACCGGTGTGGGGTGCTGTACTGTGAGGGAGGCCAGAAGCCCCTTGAACGTTCCTCCTGCAGTTTCTCCACCCACCATGGAATCTGCCACGCTCTCGGCACAGACAGCAACCCCGACACCTATGAGCTGGTACTCCAGGGCACCAAGTGCGAGGAGGGGAAGGTGAGCTGAGAAGCGCTTGAAAGCTATCCCAGGCTGCTGAAGACCAAATGTGCCCCCATGAGTCTCTAATGATGTCCTGTACAGACAGTGTTGACTGGTGGGGGCATGTGCGTGGAACCTCTTATCCCCTAGTCAAACCTGACAAGGATAAGCAGAGGCACCTGTCTGGAGACCACCACACCCAAGGTGTCCCTAGGGTCAGCCAGTCCAGTACCATTCTCATGGCTGAGCCCCTATCCCATGTGTGCGTGCGTGTGCACACACACACACACACAAGTATGAGGGCCTAGTTACCCTAGAGTGTGAACACACCAGCTGTCCTGGACTGACCTTTGGGTTTGAAGATAGTGGGGTGGGGGTGGGGTCTAGGCCAACTACCCAAGAGCCCCTTCCACCTTCCAGGTTTGCATGGGTGGACGCTGCCAGGACCTCCATGTATATAGATCTGAGAATTGCTCTGCTAAGTGCAACAACCACGGGGTACGTGTGGCCCAGGACCTCAGGGCATGGTATGCCCACTGACTGGTGCCCTCAAGCTACCACCACTTACTTGTCAGATGGAGTTTGTGGCAGAGATAGCTGTGGGCATAGCAGTGTGGGCTCAGACTAGCCTATATCCTTCTAATGGAGGCATCAACAAGTCCTCTCTGAGGCTAAGGTAGGACAGGTGCCCTCCACTGAACTCGTGGCCAGTGGCCAAGTGTGGTCACTAGGGATACTCCTTATAATCCTAAGATTGACATATGTGGGTGGATGGAGGAGAATCCTATGTGTGCTGTGACCTGCTCTGCTGCCCTGTGTGATACCCGTCCTTGAGGCCCGGCTTTCCCTCCAGGTATGCAACCATAAGAGAGAGTGCCACTGCCATGCGGGCTGGGCCCCGCCCCACTGTGCACAGCTGCTGGCAGATGTACCAGCTGGGCGAGCAGGTAAGGTCCTGAGAACCACAAGAGCTGGTTTTTGCGGGTTGCCGGGCTTGAGGGTGATTAGGAGGGATCCCATATCTCTGCATCTCAAAGGTGACTATGTCCTGCTCAAAACAAGGCCAGATAGCCTTGGCCCAGGCATCCAGGGCCACTCCCTACAACCCCCACAGTGTCTTCCTACCCAGTGGTCACTGCGGCTGTCCACAGCACCGCAGCCTCGGGAGCCTGGCTAGGCCTCAACGGTGGCACTGTGGGGATGGCACTCACCACATCTAACCCATTGCCGGAGCGCGTGAAGAGCTGGTGTAATGTACCGGGCCCTCTGCTGGAGTCCTCAGGCACTTGACCACATGTGGGGTGTGGGACCTAGGACATGGTCAAAAGGGACTGATCCTTGGGCCAGTATCTCCCAAGGGACCTCCCCAGCTCTTGATCCAGCTGGTCCCAATCCTGGATGATCATGTGGCCATGTGTCACGCAGCATCTGGGAGCCTTCCAGTTGGTGTGGTGGTGGCTTTGGTGATCCTGGTGGTGGCGATGGTCATCCTGGCAGGTGTCATCTACCGAAAGGTCCAGAGCCAAGTCCAGAGGAGGTGAGGACATGGAAGTTGTGACATATCTACATATGAGACATATACTTCCTGTACTCGGCACTTGGGAAGTGGCTTTGCGGCTACTTAAGAAAGAGAAAAAAAACATTGCTTCTGTCAGCAGGCCCGGGCAGGGCATTCAAAGGGCCTTGGGGTTCTCTGGGTGCTGGGAAGGCTTGGTGGGAAGCTCAGGAGACTCCCAGGATCTCTTCTGTTACTGCTTCTTCTCCTCCTCCTCCTCCTCTTCTTTCTCCTTCCCTTCCTCCTCCTCCTTCGAGGCTTTAAAGGGACAGTGTGGGCAACAGATAGGGATACGGTAAGTCCAGAGTTGAGATGACCTTCCCACCCCTAGCCATGGCCACATATGCCCCACTAGGTTCCTACTGTGCCCTGCACCAAGACCTTGACCCCCAAACTGACTGCCAAAGCACGGCTTTTCCAAGATCCTCCAAACACCTTAGCACAGCTGTCAAGAGACTTGCTCCTTGGCCTCCTGGGCTCACCCGTGTGCCTGTGACTACAGCTTGCAGCCTGTGTAGGGTGTACCAGGGTAGAGATGCCAGCCTCAGTAGGAATCCTGGATTCTTTGCCTGGAAATGACCACACCATTGTTTGTCTCTTTTTCTCCCCAGGAGTGTGGCACCCAAGCCCACCACAGGGCTCTCCAACCCCCTATTCTTCATGAGGGACAGCAGCCTGCCAGATAAGAGAAGGCCTCCAGGCACCCCAGAGGTGGCTTGTACCAACCAGCCCCCGAGACCTACAGTGACACCAAAGAGGCCACCCCCTGCAGTAAGTACTGTCCTCTGGGGGCGGAGGTTGAACAGAGGGGAACTCAGGTTGCAGCCCAGTAGGGATAGTGGAGGGGTGAGTCTATTAGGGATAGTGAAGCCTTTTTGTATAAATTAACTCATGAGCCCTGCAACAGCCTGGAGTCTTGAGAAGTATCTCAATCACCCCAAGGGAAGGAGAGGGACTAGATCAAGATGTGTCCTCTAAGGATCTATATTTGGAGTCTGGACTTGTGGGTTTGAGGGTTCTCAGACCTGAACTGTGAGAGGAAAATGGGATAGGCCATGCATCTCACCTAGTGTGAGCAGGAAAGTGGGGGTGGAGGGAGTACCATTTGGGAAGTGTAAGAGTCTTGGGTCCTTAAAGCATGGGACCTGGTGGGCATGGGTTGGGGGCAAGCACTGCTTCTTGGGCCCAGGCTCACATCTCTGTTCCCTGAAGCCTCCAGCTCCTGTGTCCAGTCCACCACTTCCAGTTCCAGTTTATACTCAGCAGGTAACAAATCTAATAAGCCTTGGGAAACAGCCATGTGTGTTCTGAGGACATGGAAACCTCCTGGAGGTGGCATCTAGTGGCTGACTCTGTGGGCCTGGGGCCCTAGGAAACAGCTGCTGTACTGGCAAAGTAAATTAGCCTTGCCTAGCTGGGATAGTAAATTGAACCTAAGGGTGGATTCAAGGAGCCTGGGAGGGAGGGATACTACTGCTCTATCCCCCAACCCTAAACTGCTCTGCTCCCTGGATCCTGATTCTATCTCTTTCTTCCAACAGCTTAAACCTGTTCCACCTACCAAGCCCCTCCCAAAGCTGAAACCCAAGCAGGTAAAGAGACAGCCTTAACTCTGAGGAGACCCTCCCCTCCTTCAGGCCTGTGGCCCTTTGCTCCAGAGACAAATAATCCTACACTTTTCCTTGGGAGGAAGCTATGGAGATTTGGAAGGTCTCAAAATGCCACTTACTAAAGCTTTGAAAGTAGAGATTCATTCCAGTTCATTCTTCCCTGCGGTGTTGGAGTCATTCCCAGCAGGGCTCTTCACCTCTAGATGAACGGGAACCCCTTTGCTTAGACCTAAAAGGGGCAGCCTGTTTAGTGTCACTGTGAGTCTCGGGTCTCGGAGGCCACTTGGTAGAAACCACCTCTGCAGGGCCTGGAGGCCTGCTCTTACCGGGCAGGCTGCTGATCCCATGTAGAATGGGGTTTGGAGCGTCCTTTGGTGGGCTTGGGTATCACACTCGGGGAGAAAAAGAGACAGTGGTGAAGTCACTTCCAGGCAGAAAATCCAGGACTCCTGGGCATGCCCCCCCCCACCAACTTCTCCTACTTCTGAGAATCCATGGGACCCTGCTCTAGCCCCAACCCTAGGTAGCTACTCTGGGGTCATGGCTAGACTGGTAGAGAACCTGTGTGTAGGTGCATGGGCTTGCCTGTCCCAGGGAGCAAATGCAAGGTAGCAGCAGGACAGACACCCAGTTGCCCCTGAACTCTGACACAGGCCTTAACTGCACAAGTCAGCTGCCCTCCTGACCTGTGGGACCTGAAGGGTGACTATTTGTTCTTTGCTCTGCCCGAGACCTTGTTAAGGGCCTTAGCTGCTCTTCTGGGCACCTGTGGCTCTCAAGTGGCTTTCAGTCTATACTGCTCATCTGGAAAGTGCTAGTTGACAGTTTTCTGAGTGTCCTTTCGTTTGTCTACTTCTTATCTTCTTATTGTAAGTGAATGTGGGTTGATACAGGAAGAGCATGGAAAGTAACCAAGACAGGATAGGGCTCTGAATGCCAGTGAGTTCTTTGCTGGGAACTGTTTTTGTACTAAATAAACTGATGTCTAGGGAAACGAATGAATGCTTGGGAGATCATCTCGAGACTTTTTTTTTTCTTTCAAAAAATTTTATTTATTATGTATGCAGTGTTCTGCCTGCACGTCGGTAGAGGGCACTAGATCTCATTATAGATGGCTGTGAGCCACCATGTGGTTGTTGGGAATTGAGCTCAGGACCAATGGAAAAGAGCAGTCAATGCTCTTAACCTGAGCCATCTCTCTAGCCCAGCCACCCCGATTCTTCTAACATCCAATAAACACCATACTCCAGACACATAAGCTTTTAGTTTATTTGTCCTCTGGGAAATTGTCGGCATATCACAGCAGATCAGTCACTGCAGATCTACTCCTTTGGCTTTTTTTTTTTTTTTTTTGGTTTTTTTTTGGTTTTTTTCGAGACAGGGTTTCTCTGTAGCTTTGGAGCCTGTCCTGGAACTAGCTCTTGTAGACCAGGCTGGTCTCGAACTCACAGAGATCCGCCTGCCTCTGCCTCCCGAGTGCTGGGATTAAAGGCGTGCGCCACCACCGCCCGGCTTACTCCTTTGGCTTTTTGCCAGCACCAACATTGGCCTTCGCAGTCCCCCTGACCTTCTTCATTCTGTTTTTGCATTCCTTTTGCTGTTTCCAAGAGGTTTTTTTCTTATTTTTTTTAAGATTTATTTATTTATTATGTATTCAGTGTTCTACCTGCATGTATGCCTGCAGCCCAGAAGTTGCTGGGAATTGAACTCAGGACCAGTTGCTCTTAACCTCTGAACCATCTCTCCAGTCCCCATCTGGAGACTCTTAAAATTCCACATCTTTGGAAAGTTTGACACTTAGCCTTTAACAACTGTCACTATGTCTTGCTATAGCAATTTCATGTTTTCTTCCTTTATTTATTTATCTGTTATTGTGTGTATGATGTACGTGGGCATGTATGCACATGTGGAGGTCAACTTTACTTGGTTCTGGGACTCAAGCTCAGGTCGTTAGGCTTGCAAGCGTCTTTACTGTGTGATCAGTCTCAGTGGCCCTTGCTGCTGTTGCTGTTAGTGCTGTTTATTATTATTAATTATCATTATCGTTATTATTGTGTGTGGTGTGCTGTGCTGTGTGCATGCAACATGCAAGCCATAGCATGCAAACAGGATCAGAGGACAACTTTGTAGAACTAGTTCATTCCTTCCCCTCTTACGTATGCTGCAGAGCTTGAACTCAGATTGCCATGCTTGCATAAGTGTCTTTACCCAGTGAGCCATCTCACAAGCTCCTGGTTTTTGTTTGTTTTGTTTTGTTTTTTAAATTTAGTCTCACTTTAGCCCAGGTTGATATGGAACTCACTGTGTATCCCAGGCTGGCCCTTAAACTCATGGCGGTCCTCCTGCTTAGCCTCTTGAGTGTTGGTATTATAGGTGTGATTTTCTGTTTTCCTTTTTCCATTTCTGGAGGGAAGAGGGAAATTATTTATTTACTTTTTAATCAGGGCCTCACTATGTAGCCTTGGCTGGCCTGAAGCTCTCTGTGTAGACCAGGCTGGCCTCACACTCATAGAGATCCTCCTGCCTCAGCCTCTTGAGTGCTGGGATTAAAAATGTACATCACTGTGCCTAGCCAATACTAATTTTAGACTTACATAAGAGCTGAAAAAGTCTAGCCAGGTGGTGGTAGTGGCACATACCTTTGTAGATAGAGGCTGCACGTTCATTTTGTGGCTGTCCAGACCAAATAATCACACAGAAACTATATTAATTACAACACTGTTTGACCAATAGATCAGACGTATTCTTAGCTAGTTCTTGCATCTTAAATTAACCTATTTCTAGCCGGGCGGTGGTGGCGCACGCCTTTAATCCCAGCACTTGGGAGGCAGAGGCAGGAGGATCTCTGTGAGTTCGAGACCAGCCTGGTCTACAAGAGCTAGTTCCAGGACAGGCTCCAAAACCACAGAGAAACCCTGTCTCAAACCCCCCCCCCCAAAACTAACCTATTTCTATTATTTTATATTTTACTATAAGGCTTGTGGATTGTTACCTCTTGCTTCTTGGGACTACATGATGTCTGCCTCCTTTGGCAGCTACATGGTGTCTCTTTGACTCTGCCTACTCTCTTTCTCTCTATCTCTGTTCAGATTTCCTGCTTGACTTTACTCTGCTAGGCCATTGGCCAAAACAGCTTCTTTATTAACCAATGATAATAAAGCATACCGAGGGGAATCCCATATCACACTTTTAATAGCAGCAGTCTGGAAGCAGAGACAGGTGGATCTCTGAGTTCAAGGCCAACCTTGTCTACAGAGTGAGTCCAGGACAGCCAGGACTACACAGAGAAACCCTATCTTGAAAAACCAAACAAAACAAAATTTAAAAAATATCAAAACAACAATGAAAGGGAGAAAGGAAGGAAGGAAGGAAGGAAGGAAGGAAGGAAAAGAAAACCCTAGAAGCAATCCTAAAGGCAAAATGGGGGCAGTGCAAAGGGATTTCTGAGCAAGGATTAAGAGAAACTGGATGAGAAAGAAGGCCAAAATGTGCCTCGCCCAGAAGGAAAGCTCAGCAAAGCCTTCAAGATATACTAAAACCAAGCAATGTCAGGTTACCATCTTCTCTAGGAATGTGGAAATGCAAAGAAATGTGTTTTAGTAGTTAATTCTTTCCTTTCAAGCTTCTGGTAACATCGTGGAGTACCGTCCAGGCTGCAAGATGGGTTAGGACAGCTAGCCAAGAAGAGGAGCTCTGCCAGGTTCAGGTTTAATCCTCTGAGTGGTATGGCCCTCCATCAGCTCTGTCTGCTTCCTCCCAGGTCAAGCCAAATGTTGCACCTCCAACACCACCAGTCAAGCCTGGGACTGGAGGGACCACATCTGAAGTGACTCAGGTGAGCCCTGGCAGGGACTCTACCTTGCCGGAACCATCTTGCTGGCTATGGCACTGCTCTGGAGGCTGAAGTGGTTTGTTTTGTTTTTTTTTTTTTTTGGGGGGGGGGGGATGTTGTTAACTGGTTTCCTACAGAGCTTTGTGAAGACAGAGGCCTCAGGGCTGGAGATGAGCAGGGCAGCCTTGGGAGGATAAAGCTGGGCCGTACTTGGCCTTCTTGGGAGATGCCCTCCATCAGCTGTGTCTGCTTCCTCCCAGGTCAAGCCAAATGTTCCACCTCCCACACCTCCAGTCAAGCCTGGGACTGGAGGGACCACGCCTGGGGTGACTCAGGTGAGCCCCCGTAGGGAGGGAGTCCAGCTTACCAGCAATATCCTGCTGACTGCTCTGGAGGCTGGGGTGGGTTTGTTTTTTTTTTGGGGGGGGGGGGGGTTATTAACTGGTAAGTTTTGTTGACATCTGAAAGGAAAATGGGAAAAAATCCTCAGTAATAGGCTGATTCTGCTTTATAATCTGTCAAAACATTTCGGAGCTTGCTGCTATCAGGGGCTATCAATTTTTCCTTTTCCTATAGCAATGAGAAGTCTACACCATATATGAAGTATTAGTGTAGTCATCTTGTGTGGACGGGGTCATTAATTCTGCTGTTAGGGGAAGTGAGAATCTAAAGAATTATAAATGGGAATTACTTAGCTGTACCACTTATAGCAGACCAAATGCTCATAACATCAATTTCCCTTTTTTCCTGGCAGAGCGCTGCTGGTCCAAAAGTTGCTCTGAAGATCCCTGTCCAGAAGAGGTGACCAGCTAGGGCACCCCAGGGCCACTGCAGGCTTGTGGAAGTTCGAAGATACCAGTGCTCCTATGAACATGCTCCTTCAGCAACAGCCCCCACTCGGGCTGGACCTGCAGTCCAGCTGTTCCTACCTCAGGAATAATCTATGTGGCTCTTGCTGTCCAGCTGCCCACCTGAACCAGTGTCCTCTCACGGGCCTTGTCTGCAGTTGCTAGGCTGGGGTAATGTCACCTGCAGTGAGCCAGAGTGCCAGGAGCCCCCCTCCCAGCAACTTCTGCATCCGCCCTCACCTAGTGACCCCTCCCCAAGGCCGGGGCAGATTTGCACAGTTCCTGTATCTCCTACATCCCAGTCACGTAGGAGACGTAGGGAGGAAAAGCCGACGTTGTGGGGGAGGGGGGTGTATGGGACAGGAATCGCCTTCATTTCCGGGATTGGGACAGAATGATTGTCTAACTTACTGCTAAACACTAGACATTAATAAAGATTTTATTTTATCAGTAGATTACAGATTATGTTCTAAAAAGTAGATTGTTTTATTACACCAGATCTACTATTTCGCCTACCTTCTTTTATTTTAATCATCGTAATTTAGTCCTGTCCCCTGACTGACGTACAGGAGGACCAAGCCTATCTGGGATCGAGGGTGGGCCGGGTGCAGTGTGGGCCCCGCCCCTTCCGGCTGTGCCTCGTCTCCTAGCAACGGTCTGAAGCCTCCCGATTTACTCCGCAGCTTTTTGCCGCTGCAAACGCACCTTTCTACCATGCTCAGTGCTTCCAAGCAGAGCTCTGCCGCGCTCCTGTCACCGCCTGAGGTTATTCACAACCTCTGCGCCTGGCTGGACCGGCTTCCACTCAGTCGCCCCAAGCGCCACCTGGCTCGGGACTTCAGTGATGGTGGTGCGAGTGAGGGCGAGGAGCAATGGGGCACATGACGAGAGGGCTCAGATAAGGGCCTCCCTTGAATCCAGCCCCCACAGTACCGGGGCGTGGCGGGGGGGGGGGGGGGGAGGGCGGTTCCTGAGTCCAGACTCATGCTCTTTAGGAAAGGCTGTGGCAGATATGGCCTCCTGTGGCTCTTCAAGCTCCTCTTGGGCTCTCACGCTGTGGTAACTCCGTAGGCCATCCTACCCCTTGGTCTGTCCAGGAGTCTAGGTGCCGTGCCGAGAACTCTCAGGGACAATCACGGGTTCCCCAGGACAAGCTCGTGCCCTCCCCCTTCACTCCGTGCCTCTCATGTGGTCAGAGATTACAGCTACAACTCGGGGTCTTAGCCAAGCCAGCCAAGCTTACCTTGCATTCCCACAGTGCTGGTGGCCGAGATTGTGAAGCACTTCCACCCTCGGCTGGTGAACTTGCACAGCTACGTCCCAGCCTGCAGTAAAGACCAGAAGTTGAGCAACTGGAGCCTTCTCAACAGGCAAGGCATGGTTGGCCCAGGGACACTCTCTAATGCCCCTTCGCAACAAGTTTCCAGCTGCGGGTCTCTGACTATGGCCAGGGTTCCTGGGGACTCCCTGCTGGGACAGCCCACCAGGTAGCCTGTTCTCTCACAGATTAGTGGAGGCACATTTTACTCCACCTCCCAAACTGTCCTCAGACAAGCCCCTACCTGTGTGTCTGTTGTGCTACATGACACCAAGAACAACCAGAGTAGGCTGGACATGTCAGACATAGTCAAGTCAAGAGGGAACCCAGGAAGTGCTTGAGCAGAGCAAGGTGGGGAACACGTGCTGCGTGGGGAATGTCAGAGCCCCCAAGACTGGCTCAGATTGGATTGGGGGCCACTGAAGGACTCAGGCCTGAGCTTATGTTTAAGAGGTTAGAGCTGGAATGAAGGCTCAAGGGAGGTGATCATGCCTGAGTGGGCCCAGCTGCCGAGTTCTGGGACTGTCTAACTGTATCAACAGGACTTCTAGAACAGAAGGCAAGCAGTCAGGGAAACAAGTTTGAGTGCAGAGAACCTGGCCAGGTGGAGCAGAGCGCATCAAGTGTTCTAGGATCTTCTGAGACACAGGCCCACTAGGCCAGGAAGGAGACAGCCATGGGTCCCTGGGCTGCAGAGCAAAGAAGACACCTTGTTAGCCTCTCCTCTCTGAGGAAACTAGATGCTGTCCCGTGGCTGGAAGGCATGACCCACAAGGACGGGACTGCAGGGAGGGCTCCACTCCCAGCCCTTGGTGGCACTGTTTTGAGAGTGTACCCCCATTTTTTTTTTCAGGAAAGTCTTTCAAAAGCTGCACTTATGTATCTCAGAGGCCGACATCCAAAAGGTGGTGTCCAACGAGCCTGGGGTTATTGAGTCTATCTTGTGTTCACTGAAGGAGAAAATGGAGGCCGGCACTGCTCACAGAGGCCCGGCTGGTGAAGCTGTAAGTGTCTGTCCATCAGCTCAGCCTGCAAGTGGGCTGTGCCTGCTGAGCTTTGAGCACAGTCAGACAATCTGCCTGTGTGAGAATAAAACAGAGAAACGGATGTCTCTGTGGTCCAGAATGAAACGAAGTCCATACATGAGATCACAGTAGCCACTTAGGCTCATTCCTGACTTTACTGCTAACTAGGATCTTCCCAGGCCCCCATCTCCTCCCCAGCCTGAACTACCTACCCGAGACAGTGAAAGCACTTGAGAGTTGTTCCAACTGCAACCACCCTAAGTCCTTCCCTCTCTTCTTCTGCAGTTTGCCCACTGACCCTGCCCAGAGTGGAGACCAGACATGTGCAACCCTGTTACACCTCACCTCCCAACTTTTGTACTCTGCAGGAACCAGGCCTCTCCAGTGTGGATGCTGTCCGACCTTTGGGAGGGCTAAGCACCCACCCGCATACCACTAGGACTCAAAATCTTAATGTGGATAATAGCAGCTCGTCAGAGCCCCTCTGGGACTCCTATGGAGAGGGTCGCTACATTCCTGAAGGCTGGACACATGACAATGCCGAGCTCACAAATCTTCAAAAGAGGGCAGGTATGCTGTGGTGCACCCTGGGCCTAGAGGGGCTAGTTGGCTTCTGAGGAAGGCACCCTCACATGTGCAGGTCCTGGCTCCATCAATACCCAGAGAGCAACCATCCAAGGGGGAGCCTGTGTGCCATGCAAGGAAACCATTTCCAAGTTTGCCAGGGCCCTGACACCAGGCTAGGACCAAGTCCTTCCATGATGATCCTGGGTTTGCTTTACCTCCTATGAACCATGTCCCCTCATCCATATTTACTGTCACTGGTGGGGGCCAGTCGGAAGCAGGGTCCTCAGCTGATGGTGTCTATTTGTCATACAGGCCTTCAGAGCCCTCCAACCCCCGTCAGCATGAAGACCCTTCAGAATCAAAGGGATCTGGAGAAAAAGGGCTGCTGTGCTTGCAGAGGGTGGACCCTTATCTCTCAAATTCTCCCTGCCCATCTCCTCATGATCTCTATCCTGGATTAAAGGTCAGTGTTTACCTTTCAGGGACCCAGTTGAAGGGCTCTGGGATCACCTGGCCGGCATCCAGCAGCAGCTGGAGGATAAGGAGCAAGCAATAGCCATTCTGCAGGAGACAGTCAAGGTATGGTCCTGTTGGGCATCCCTTGCTGCCTGGACAATCTGGGCTGCAAGACAAGGATGCAGAGGGACCCATTTGCCCCAGTTTCAGACTCCTTGGCTGAGTTTCTGCAGAGCTGGCACTGACCCAGTGAAGGGCATAAGGGGAGTGCAGGACCCTGATCAGAGAGAAGTGACAATCTTGGGATTATTTAGAAAACAGTTTATGGAACATTTGAATCCTTCTCTGAGGCAGAAATGGTATGGTGGTTCCCTAATGCACTCATCACCTGCTTTATTGGTCTGTCCACACCACACCCAAGTGCAGCACAGGGGTACAGGATGGCTGTATGGACCAAAGCCCATCTCAGGAAGCAGGTTCCGGGTGAACATCTGAAAAGCACATAGAAGGGGACGCTTACTGGAGAGGCTCCTGCCTGCCTCCCACTAGCCTGAACTGGGCCTCATCTTTCTTCCCATCCCCAAAGACCAGGGCCCTGGAAAGAACCACCCACATGGAGAGTCTAGTGAGCATTTAGATGTGCATGCATACCTGGCTTTGGTATACACCTGGTAGTTCTGCAGGGCACATCTGGCTCTGGGATACACAGTTGATTCTGTAGTGCATATCTAGGTTCTGCAGTGCACACCTGATTTTATGGTGTATGCCATGCTGTGTGGGCTAATACCTGGTACTGCAGATGCAACTCCAGGTCTGTGGAGTCCACACCCAGTTCTGCAATACATGGGTTATGCGGTGCATGGCTTGCTCTCTGAGGGAGAGCATTCTTTCGGTTCTGCAGACACATCTGTCCTGCTACTCTTTCACCAGCAACTTCCAGTGCCCCTTGCTATTTCTTACCTCTCCTGGTATCCCAGGAGTACAAGAGCTAAGACAATCTGGAAGAGTGGACAGTTTGGGCCAATGGGCCTCAGAGTCACAGGGGCTGTCGGAAATTGCAATACCATCTCAGTTCTTGCGTTTGTACTTGAATCTTGATGAGTTATCTTCTTGTGAAAACAGGAAAGTGATGTGATATCACTGTGGCTTTGGAGCTGCAGAGCAGAAGAGAGGAAGCAGTAAGGAGAACTGAAGCTCCTGCCTCCGTCTGCCCTGCTTGTTCATAGCCCAGCTCTCCCCACCGCCGCCCAGGCTCATATGCTGACCAAGGGAACTAACTCTTCATTGGAGACCCAGAGAGGAAATAGAACAGCTTGTCATTTAAAGGTTGACACTCAACTGGCCCTTTAAGGGTTGACACTCAACTGGCCAGTTAAAGGTTGAGTACCACTTGTAAGTGGCCACTAAGTGAGATACACAACTTTGGAGTTGAAGAGACACCAGGAGTCATAGGAGAAATAAGTGGTGACAGGATGTATCAAGCATGTGACTGGGCTACATGGGATGGATTCGATTGCTGGGCCTAGCCACAGCTCCCTGGCTTTTCGGTTTGTCACTGAATAAGAGTTGTAGGAAGGTGTCTAGAAAATAGGCTTTATATACTGGCTATAGACAGTCTCACACTTGTCTGCTGTGAGGCTGGCTCCCTCCCCACCTGGCTCCACAGATTCCTTCCTTCACACTACCTGGGAATGAGGCAGATCCTGTTTTTTTCTGCCTGAGGAGTGTGGTGGGGTCTGTGTTTCTGATAGGAGAAGGTTTGGGACAAGGTCGTCCTTGAAACAGGTGTGGAGGAACCACAGACACCTGAGCCTATCAGTCCTCTGAAGGGTTCGTAGCAGAGAGAAGGCTCCTGCCCTGCCCTGCCTTGCCCTGCCCTGAATCTAGTCCTTCTAGTTGATACAGAGGGAGTAGACAGAGAGGTCAGGGAGATCCCAGCAGGGAACAGGAGGAAAACCCAGCCCTTCTCCTGCCAGTCCCCTAAGCTCCTCAGGCTCATTGGCTGTAGAATCTTCCCCAAGGATCCTGGTGTTCATTTTTCTCAGTG